GGGAATTTGACTTTTATTCCCGTAAGCAACTTTTCTTACAAATCTGTAAGAAATTGTTAACTTGCTTTATTTGTAATTCATAGCAACTTCGAGACGCTATCCCACTTTGCCTAGTGGAACGCGGTTGCCTGTTTACCCTAAGGTATTGGGTTTGAGTCCTGCCGGAGATTGTTCTTTCAGTAAGTTGGAAATTGAATTTTTTTTGAGAAAATTTCACTTATCGGACCTTCGTTTGTCTGCTTATGTTTTGTCTGCTCATATCGGCTGCAACATCGAATTTTTTCTACTTTCGTTAATTTTCACCTTGGATTCAAGTGGTTTTGATTTACTCCTATCAGCTGAAAATTAATAGTCTGAGAGTAGTCTTAATTTGAACACCTCGAACTCCCGGGGGTGTGATCAGGGTGCGGAAAAGAGCAGGAGCAAATTGTTCTAGAACGTTTCAAACCGGTCAAACGAGTTCTTTGTAGCATTTTAACTAAAGATTTTTTTTACAAAATGCTGGAGTGGTTTTCATGTGATTTCTTGTATGAAAGCTGCCTAATGTAAATTATGAGTATTTTTATTTCTAATTTTTTCACGTTAAATTCTCTGGAATACTAATTTAAAAAAAATTTTTTTGCAGAACATTGAATTCACATAAGAACTTGTTCAGAGCAAAATTTTGGTCAAAGACAATCAGATTTTTTCTCAAATAGCTTTGAGTTGATTTTCTTTTTTCTTAGTGACGAACTTGATGTTGTCCCGCTCTACTACAGGTGACGACTTTGGCTTGTATTTTTTGGTATGTAAAATGATCGGCAAAACAGGCTCTGCCTATAGTTTTTGAGTATGTTTCAAAGCTTCCTATCTAAAATATAAAAAGAATTTAAGGGTATTATTTTTTCTAAACAAGATAGGAGAAATATTAAGAAAATATTTTTTTCCAAACAAAAAAATACCCTTAATTGTTCACGAAAACAACCATTGCAAATTGAATCCCATGGTTGTTCTTATTTTTCATCCAGCTTCTCAACTTCTCAATAGTCGTACCAGTAGCCTGAATTGTTTGATGCTTCCTTGAACTTATGAGGCGTGTCTGTGAAATTAGGAAATTTTTGCAAAATTTAGGTATCACGTATCAGTATCCATAAAATCGTCTCCGTTGGTATTCCGCCAACTAATTTCAGAAAGTACTTATGTAATCTACAAATTAATAAAATTGATTTTTGAGCTGAGCTAGTTTTAATCCCAAAGTTTTCTATAATTTTCTAGTTTTTTTTCCAACCAATAGAATGGCCAGCGAAATAAATCAAATTATGTCAATTGAAACAAACTTTTCGATATCGAAAATTAGTATGAAAGCTGGCTTAAAACATATGAGTTCATTTCTATTTTTTGAGCTTTTTGAAGATCGAAAATTATTCGTCAAGCTGATTTTTTTCATGAGAAAAAAATGTTGACCTGGCTCAATTTTTCAATTTTGGTTGTTCTAGAACTTTTGAAACAAAATAAGTCGTTAATTTTTTTTTCAGATTTTTTGAATCGATAATTGATATTTTAAATTGTTATAAGTTGTAAATTACTTGTTCAATTAATGGGGCTTAATTGAGTATTGGGAGTGAAAAAGTAAACTGTGTTCAGGCATATATATGTACAAAATCTGGAACAATTATTGACCCGTTTGAAACGTTCTAGAACAATCTAGAATTATTTGCTCCTGCTCTTTTCCGCACACCTCCCCCCCCCCCCCCCCCCCCGGATTCTGAAGTGCTCACACTAATTCTACTCTTGACGTTGTATATTTTTCTTGGTGCTCCTTTTTTGGCTTAAAAGCCTTATTTGGTCTTAATGGTTTTGGCTTATGTTTTACTGGCTTAGTTATTTTATGTCGCTTCAAAGGCAAAAAGCGGTTGATTTTCTTGAAAAATTCAGGTAGTGCGTGTTGCAAGATTTTAAAGTTTCAAAACTTAATTGCTCAAAATTTTTATGACCATTTTTTATGGCATTTTTTTTTTCATTTTCGGACCAGTGGCCGCTCGGTAAATACTAGAAGTTAGATTAAAGCTGTTGGTTGTGTTTTTCTACTGCTTTTCTGAGATTATGTATTTTTTTCATCATCTTTTCTCAATTTTTTTTTGTTTCCGTCTCATCTTCTATTCGCGAGTTTAAACTGCGGCGCTTGCGTTCTATATCAAAAGGGATGCGAATCTATGCTTTGTCTCTGTGTAATATATTGCATGCGGACTAATTAGGCCTTGAAAACTTATTTGGGCTCACACTTAACTTAATAAAAACACTGGTTATGCTAAAGTGGAGCGGGTGGGATGCCGAGAAGGACTAAGTCGCAATTAGTTTTAACCTTAATCTGTTTGTGAGCTTCCATTTCTTTGACTCCGTAAATCATGTCATCATAATTGTATATTCCAAGACCGAACTTCTTCATTACAATTTTCTGAGCTTGAGGGTGGACGTTTGCAAACGCTTTGCCAATAGCCTCCTCTTCGTTCTCAATTATATCCAGTCCTGATAGTTTGACGAGGCGTTCTTTTTCACCGTCTGATTTCTTCTGTAAATACTTAACAACATCTTCGTCGCTGATGACCTCAGTTCCAAGTGTGCTGACTACTCGTTGAACAGCATCTGGTCTGAGTTGTTTGATGTCCAGCACAATAGAATCTTCCGAAGGCGTAGGCCTGATGTTCGTTTGAGCTACCACCTGCATTTGTTCATCGGGGCACAAGTTCAAAAGACCTTAAATACTAGAATGCTTCCGTAAATTATTCAACCGAGAGGCTTTATTCTGCATAAAATAAACTGTAGTTTTTCTGAAGCAGAGTGTTGTTTTTGTTACCTATCAAAGACCCGCTATAGAAGCTCAAATCAAATCATTTTTTTGGATTCCTCTAGTACTCTTTGCATTTCAAGGAAAAGATACGAATAATCGTTATTCTTCAAGTTTCATCTCTGTCTTTTTTTTCAAAAACTGAGTTGCAACTGGTTCCAGTCAGTTGCAATAAAACGATAATTTTCGTGCAGTTAATTGAGTTGCTGTTGGCAATGAATGCTATCTGATGCCGTGTATTCTCTATTTTCGTTTTGTAAAGAAAGAAATCGAGATCTACTGACCGAATACTGAAGAGTTCATTGAGATCTACTGACCGAATACGAGGTACTCCTTGGATGGTTTGTGGTTGACGTTCTTGAGGATGCGATCGATGCCCTCCGGGTTAGTGTCGCTCAGACCTCTCACCATCTCTGCCTCACTTGGCACCAACTGCACTCCTGCCATGCCAACAATCGCTAAAGCATACGAATACGTTTCACCCGGGTGTTTGGAAGCAAATTGTTGGTGGGGTGTTTCTGTAGCGTACTAGAGTCAATTCAATTCCTGGGATTTTTTTAAAAATCATGTTGTGCTCAAAATCCAGACCATTGATTGTGATTGTTTCCAAGCTAGGGGGGGGGGGGGGTGGCATGAAAAAGAGCCTGACTTTTTAATCGTTCAAAAGTTAAGTTAATTAATATTTTCGTCTTTTAGGTCCCTGCAATCCATCGAAAAATTTCTGACTCCTTTACTCATTCAAGTTTGATTTTAAGTTTTGAAAGCCAATTACAAAAGTATGAAAGCTTTTGCTATGTGGGAAGTGGAAAAACGTCCAGTTGTATTTGGTACACGAAGTTTTACCTTGCACCTCGGCTGGTGTCCTCTCCGCTAGGTACTCGGCAACATCCGACTGTTCGAGACTGACGCCTGCCGACGCCATCACGGCTCTCCTGGCACTGATGTCCAGATGTCTGAGAATGTCCACTATCTCTGGCTCTGTTGGAGGGTGCTGGTGCATGATCTCCCGCATAATTTGCTGCTTCATGGCTGGGTTCATCTTGCGCAGATAGGAGTAGATGACGTCATCGTTGGGAAGCCCCACTTGTTGGAACACCTGTAATCAAACAGTTTAAAAGTAATTCATATCATATATTTGTTTCGACTGTTTCCGATTATTGTCACCCTGAGTAAGTTAAAGCCCAACCTCTCGTTAAGAGAGAATCTGACTGCCTCGCCACAGTAATTTCATTAAGTTTTGATGTTTATATATTGAAGAGACACTGTCAATTTACCTGCTGCTGCATGGGCGCTGGCATCCTAGAGATAGCACAAATGATTCCTTGTAGAGTGTTTGATACCATCTCCACGTCACACTTAGGAGCACAGTCCACTTCTACTGCAGCCAGAGGTGGAGGGGGTGGGGGAATGGCACTGGGACGACACTTGTTTCCGCTCGGGGGACAGCACATGCCCCCCGCCTGCACATACCCTTCTGGCGTTGTCATATTGCGCGGACGGTTAAAAATTTGGTTACGTTAATGATACTCAATTTAGTGTAACACTACCGGTGTTTCGGAGTATCCTTGGCTCTTTTCCATTTTCCCCCACATTCAAATTTTCCATTTTCTTAGCGGTCTTCCGTGTTATTATGGCTGAATGCAGGAAGGTATGAAGAACAAAAGTATTCACGATAATTAAGTTGTTCACCATGCTAAATTTCATTACATTATGACAGTTTAAGAAAAGTGTTTCAAAACTGAAAATGAAAAGTGGGGGAAATGGAAAAGAGCCCTCTCTCTAACTTAATTACATTGAAGTTAATTATCAATAGTGAACTTATAAGTCAGGAGTAGTTATTATCGATAACTGTGTTATTAACTGTGTTATTATCGATCATGGAGTAGTTAGTATCGACCATAAAAGTTAAAGTCAATACAATAAATACTGAGCGGATAAGCGAAATAAAAGATAATATAGCTATAGATATGCTTGAACGATAAAGATAAAAATGAATTTTGCACGAGAATTTTAGCGTATTCGATTCGTTTTTTTTTTCGCGTTCAAGATGAGACACCCGCCGTACCTATTAGGCTAACCAACTCATCCATTTTTCTAAACTGTAATCAATTCAACGTTGATTTTTTTCATTCAGTGATCTAATTTTTGGGTTTGCTCTAAATGTAGACTTTTTCAGATTTGAAATGACAGACATCTCAAATGAAATGTGCGTTTCAAAGCCAGGCACTGAAAGTGACGATGCCTCCAAAATAACCTCGACTGTCAAAGACGAAGAGATGAAAGCCGACGTAGTCGATTCCTCGAACAACAATTCTACGGAACCACTAAGCGCAGATAAACATACCACAGAAATAGCAGCTAAGGCTGGAATTGATTCAGAAGCTTATGGTCCACAGAGCGGATACAACACAAATAGTGAAAATACGTACTATAACCCCTATGTAGCTCCGACAACGGTGACATCCGCAGAACAGGGAACGTATGACCAGGCCGCGGAGGCATACTATGCCCAGCAAGGTTGGTCATACCCCGCAACTGTGGCCACGCAGGATTATGGGACAGAAGCAACTAATACGGCTGAAGACGCCGTGGGAATGGTTAGTAATGAGATTTGACTTTGAATCTTCATATATCGAATTGTTGCCTAGATTCTATTGCAGCCTTCTTGTCTCACTTTATATCTAGCAGAATCGCTCGCAAGAATTTTTGGAGTAACATAAGCTGATGGCAATTAATATTGATTTTTTTTTATCTTAGTGTTTTATTTACCTATTGAAAGCTAAAAAGTCTACGGTTCTTTTTCAGTTTTTCACGCCCTCGTAAAATTACAAGTTAATTTTGTTGAAAAATTGTTCGGTTTTCTCAATTCAAATGTTTTATTCCGAAAAACGTTTGAATTAGAAAAAAGCTATTTTCCAGTCTCTCATTGGCACATAAAAGATTTTGTGTGTGAATCATTGATGTTACAAGGTTTTAATGAAAACCAATGTGTGTAGAATTGGTCAGTTACCATGCATGCCACATTTCAAAACAGTCAGGCTATGTTTCATTTGGCGAAAAGTTTCATTCCGCAAAAATTACAGGTCTTACAAGTCTTTTTCTAGAAAAGAGTTTGTGATTTGCAGGACAGGAAGCGGAGTTACCCTTTAGAGGAAGGGACATCTGTGAGCGATAACCAGAACCAAGAGCAGGAGAGTCAAAATGGAGAAGAGAATGAAGAATCATCGGGGGGCAGACTGGGTCTGTCATCTGTGCCTGGACTGGACGATCTCTGGGCTCAAGTCAGTCAGGACTTCACAGGTACCACGTTACAACGTTTTTTTTCTCTTTAAAGCGCGACAACTTTTTTTCGCTTCAAAGCGAGACGAATTATAAGGTAGCTCGTAGAAAAAAAACTATTGTTTGAGAAAATTATCGATCATGTTCATTGTTGCTTTCTGACGACTACTGAAAGAGCGAAGCTCTAAGTTATACCTAAAGGTGAAAACATTAGATGTGCGTCAAATTGCATGACTCGATATTAAAAAGGGACAGAGACCAAGTCAAGGGCAAATGGCTGATCTAATTTGGATTTTTCGTTATTTATATCATATGAACTGTTTCAGACTTCGACAGTTGGACGAAGCTGCTGGCTACTTCTGAGTCGTGTGAGGAGGTGAAGGAGATCACGCAGGCATACGATGTGTTCCTGGACAGATACCCGCTCTGCTTCGGATACTGGAAGAAGTACTCAGATATACTCAAGAAGAGAGGCTTGCCCACCCACGACGTTCAGAAAGTCAGTGTGTACCATTATGAGTAGTTCAACATTATTATCAGTGCACTAAGGTATATTGGTAAATTGACTGAAAACATCCTTGGACATTATACTGATGACGTTTTTCTCTGCTCATTTGGCAAACTAAAATTGGTTCTAAAAATGCTGCTTCAATTTTCGCAGTCCGTGAAGAATTGAGTGTTCACTTACTCGACTACCGCAACGAACACTTTTAGGATTTCATTAGGAAAGCTATATTTCACGCATCACCGGCCAAATTTCCCTCTTGGAAAAACGATAGAAAATATCTATATATTTTTTGTTCCGACCCTTTAACGAAACGGGAAGGATCAGATTAACCGGTAGTTTAGGTTTTTTCCAACACGCTTTGACTATCTAAAAGATATTTTGTAGGAGTTCAAGTATGGTATGATATTAAAGCTTTTATAATCATAGAGATCCAAAAAGATAGCTGTGTAGAGAAAAACTAGTCTGAATTTTTCCGTTTTCCACACTAATTTTCAGTAGAGGTTCAGTCCTATGTTCGAATTCCAGGGCCTGTTTTTTTTAAACTGAAAATTCCCCATTTCACGAAATCGTCGACATATCGTCTGTCTGTCTGTTTTTTGTCGGCTTAGTTGTCACATCACGGATTTTCTTGTGCTTCGGGCAGTATAACTGTGATTGAAAGTGTTTTTGATTTATTCCTGTAATGTGTAATTCTTCTAACTCCTGACTTTGTATAATTCCTATTTTTTTTTCGTTCGAAAACTTTATTCGGCCTATATAGTTTCGGGTTTTGTTATATTGGCTTAGTGACCTAATCTTGTGTCCTTTGAAAGGAAATGCCCCCTCCCAGAAATAGACAACAGGATAAAAACTAGAATTTCAGAACTTGATAGATCTAGATTTTTATGACAAAAATTTTGGGGTTTCGGCTCAAAGGGAATTTACCCAAATTTTGTGGGCTTAGTTGCCGCTTGATGAATGTTTCTTTACCCTTGCGATAAGCAAGGGTATTGCAACGTGGTACTAGACTTTTTTCCGTAAAAAACTTTGGCCACAGGACTCATCTCTACGTTGTTTCATAGAGATGAGTTGTTTCATGAGTATCATGTTTGTTTCATATCATAATTTGTTTCATATCATATTGTTTCATATCATAATGTATTCAAATTTCTCAGCATTCCTGGCCAACTTGGCTTGGAGGTAACGAATATGGCTGGGACGGCAAAGTCCTGGGTTCGAGTCTGACCAGGACCTGTTTTTTTTCAAACGGGAAATATTCTGTTTCAAAAAAAATTGTCGGCCAATTATTTGTCTGCTTATCTGTTGTCGGCGAATTAGTTGTCACACCTTGAAAATGTTTTTTTCCACGCGCATTTTTGATGTTATTTTCAGTGTTTGATTTACACCTACATTTTGTAATTTCACTTACCTTGACTTCATATTTCCTGTTTTTTGTTTCGCTAAAAAGATTCCTCAGCCAAAATTTTTTCAGTCAATTTATTCATCGGCTTAATGACCTAATTTTGGGACGTTTCAAGATCAAAACAATTTCAGCACTACCCTTTGCATTTTTCAAGTTGGTTGTATATTTACCAATTGTTGAAATTTCTTGTTTTTTCGTTTTGGAAAATTTTTGCAAAAGTTTAAGTTTCTCTCAGAAAATTATCCTGATTTTCAAAAAATGAGTATCAATTGAAATAACGCTTATTTTTCTATGTGCCTGGACACTCCCCTAGAGTCTTTTTACTTGACCCCTCTGTCTACTGCCGTTGAAAAAAAGTGTGGGGAAATATTTGACCCATATTTTTTTCTTTTTCTGGAAAACTAACTCTCTCAAATATGAGTTTTTGCTTTCAATGGAAAGAACTGGTTTGAAAAGCTCCCTGCATAAGTTGCTACGACCAAATTTTTTGCACGCATAGTTATGGCCCTCGGAATAGTCAAATTTTTGGTTTTTGACTGTTTTGTGGATCTTCTTGACTTCTCGAAAACTAACCTCTCAAATCTGATATTGTGAGTACAATGAGATACGAGGAAATGGGAAGCTCCTCTGCATTTGCGGACACTAACAATAGTTTTTCACAAGAAGTTATCGCCCTCTGAAAAATCTGATTTTTGATTTTTTGACTCCAAAAAAAAAACAAAAGTTAAGGCCCTCGGAAAAGTAAAAATTTTGATTTTGTGACAAAAAATTTTTTTTTTTAAAGATTTTGACTGGTCTGTAAAACTTTTCTCCCAAATCTGATATTGTGGATTCAATGAGATAAGGGGTAGTAGAAAGCTCCTCTGCATTAGCGGTCATTAACATCAAGTTATACACTAGAAGTTATCGCAAGTGGTTCGAAGCTCCGCTTAGCCTGTGTGTAATATTTTTCTGAAGCTGGTGATTTTGTTGTGTTGATGAACATGTTTTCCTCAAAATGAACATTTTCGAGACTTGTTTTTCTCAAAATGAACATCTCCTCTGCCCTTGTGTTAGTTCTCTTTTTTTGCATTAGTTTTGCTTAAATTAACAGTTCGGAAATAGATTATTACCGAATTTAGTCCGCTCTCACTAGCGAAAAGAAAAAGATGTTGTCACTCAGGTATGTACTTAATTAGATTGTTTTCAGGTTTTTGAGCGTGGAGTGACCGCTATACCTTTAAGTGTGGACTTGTGGATCCATTATATCAAGTTTGCAGCCAATACACTCTTCTCAGAGAAGGCTCAGGAGAACACATCCAATATAAGAAGGTAAGAAAATCATTAAGCTCCTTTAATTGCATCTTACATTTCAGGCGTTCATGCCAAGGTCACAAAGTTGAAGAATGCCTTGTGCAAGTTTTCGCCCTGTTTAGGATCTTTGTACCAATTTTAACAGGTACTTAGTACAAGGTGTTTTGTTTTGATGGGCGTAGAGTTTAAGTACTAGGATTTTTGTATTATATGTTAACTATTTTTGGGGGTGTTAAAAAGAAAGCCGTTTTGTGTTCAGTTTGTACGAGAGGGCGTTGTCGGCCTGTGGGAATGACTTCAAGAGCGATAGACTATGGGACGAATTTGTCAACTGGGAGAGGGATGGAGGCCAATTCGCCAACGTCACCGCAATCTACGACAGATTACTCCGAGTGCCAACACAGAAACACGCTGAACACTTCGAAAAGTGAGTCATCTCTACTCAGGTTTCAGATTTTTAAGATTGATATTTGAGATTTTCACTTTTTCCCAAAAAATTCTGGATCTTTTTTTAGATTAGGTTCATAGTTTTCTTTCAGCAGATCTATATCAAACTTTTATGCCTAGAGATGTTCAGCGAGGCAAATAAGTCACGGAGAAATAAGCAATAGCTGATTTATATCTAAAGTTGAAAAATAGCTCTAAATTTCTGAGTGGGAAAATCAAGCGAGGCACAAATGTCTTCCCACCACGAAGTGTGCTGTATTAAAAATTTGTTAAAAGAACCCCTTTTTTTCTGGCTGTAGGTTCAAATCACATATCAGGTGTCAAAGTGTGATGGAGCTAGTGTCGGAGGAAGAACTGAAGGACCTGATGAAACTGCTTCCGACAGAAGACATTAAGATGGAATCAGAACCCTGCGTGAAAGAAGAAGACAAAACTAACTCCTTTGCACAGTCCTCAGAGGACTTGGAAAACGAGAATGAGACTAAAGAAAAAGTTGAAGAGTCGAATTTTGAAGATGAGAATATAGTAAAGAATGAACCGGAAGTGAAGACTGAAGTAAGCGAGAAGTCGAAACTTCCGAGTCGTTTGTCAGAAGAGGCCGAGGAGAAGATGAAGATGATTGTTTTGGAAAGGAGGACAGAGGCATATGGAAAATTGAAGAAAGAAATCGAAAAAATAATGCCTTTCGAGGAACAGGTTAGCGTAAAAAAGAGACCTTTAAGCTTTTACGGGCCCGTTTTTAGACGTTAAAGTACTACATTGCCCCTACGTTTAACTTAGGGTTTAAAAAAGAAATGCAATTTTCACCAAGTTTTGAGTTATCACACTTTTTTACGATCAGGCTTACATTGCTGATATAAACTTTTATTTTGCATAGAAAAGGGATATCAATACTGGTTAAGTGTCAATCAACGAAGTGCAATACACTTATTTGGTCGATGAACGTAGTGATTTTATTTGTGTGTTTTAAAGTCGTTGAACGTAGTGAAGACCTTATATAGGTCGTGATGGCTTCCTCCTGGAAAAAGTTCCTTTTTCGCGGTTTGAGTTTTGATTTCTTTTCATTTACTTTGTTAAAAGGAAGGCAAAATCCACTATCGAACAGCAAGTGTATGTGAATGACTTCTATTTTCGGAATTTTTTTTTTCAAATTTCCCAGCAAATTAAAAATTTGCCTATTGATCCAGTTTTCTCAAATTGCGTTTATGTTATATATAAAGCGTCAATCATCAATTGTTCTTAAAATTCACAAAAGTTTAAGTTAATAATCTGTTGCGTTGAAATTCGAAAGTTGAAGTTTTCAAGAGTCATGAACGTAGTGAATTCTCTTATATAGGTCTTGGTGATTATTTTTTCGCTGTCTGACTTTTTTTAAGTTCACCTCATTTCCTTTGTTAAAAGGAAAGCAAACACCACTGTCGAACTCGAACTGCAAAAGTGTAAAGCTCTTGAAAAACGTGATAGACTTCTAGTTCCGAAAGTGGATTTTAGTTTGCAGATTTCCCAGCGGAATATGAAATTTATTTTTTGATCCAGTTTACTCGAAGTGGGTTAATTTTATCAAAAAAGTGTCAATCATAAATTGTTCATGAAATTCAAAGAGGAATTTCGAAGGAGGAGTTGTTCTAGAGGAATTGTTCTTGAAATTTTGCTTGGAACTTCAAAAGTTGAAGTTTTTTTTCTTCAAAAAGTTGCGTTTTCTGTTTTCTTGCGTTCATTGACTCTTTCCAACTGTCTGTTATCTGTTTCATTTTTAAGCGACCAAATTATTTTTTCTATTAAATGATTCCCAGTTTTTGAAAATTACCTATTTGCGGGTGAATTTGTCAGATGAAAAATGAGGAATGTATAAAAGTTTGTCTGGCATATATTTTTGATCGCAAAGGATGCGAAGCTCGGCTCGCCTATGTCAAAAAATTTCGAAATTGAATTTTTTCTAATGAAAAAAGGATTTCCACCCTGGATGATTCCCTTGTCGCGACATATTTTCATGATAGGCTGAAGCTGAACCGAATCTAAATGCTGTAAAGTCGCAATTATTAATCCCATAATCACCAGTCCTGAATTTTATCATCAAGCGGCAGGACCCGCAGAAAAAATACGCTTTCGGTTGCGTGTCAGTGCGGATTATTTTTGTTTGAAAACATCCTAAATCATTAAAACTTAACGAAAATAAATCAAGTGAATGAGTGATTGAATGAAGTGGATTTTTTTTAGATGCAGTATTTGTTCACATTCAAGTTTATGTCTAGACAATTTGACTTCTGAGTTTTTTAAGCATATTTCAATTTCATATGCTAAAAGAAAGAAGCAATTTATTCTCTCCAATAAAAATGGGTAGCCAATTAATACCACTCTTTTTTTAACCACAGAAATTTTAACTAACGAGTCGGTTAGCGTGCAGAAGTGTACAAAACGTACAAGGTTCGGAATGTTTCACAAAGCTACCATTCACTACAAACCCTAAATAATCATAAATATGTCTATCAAGTAATGTAAAGTGAGACATGACCCCCAAAGATATGCAGCTGGCGATAAACGCGCTACCGACTGTTTTCAGTAAATTTTGAGTTTCCAGCAGAACTTGTTGATTCAGTTTTTGCGTATGTTTCATCGAAAAAGTGTCAATCATAAAAGAATTTTGAAGTTTGTAGATCTTTGATCTGGATAAGAGCATTGTAAATATTAAGCTCTCTTTAGAGCTTCAATTTCTTCGAAAATGCCGTGAACATTTTTTTTCTGCTTCCTTTAGTTCATTTTCCAGTGCCTGTTGGCTATGTGTATTCTGGAGATAAGCAAGGGTATTGCAAACTAGACTTTTTCCCGTAAATAGCTTTTTCTCACAGGACTCATCTCTATTGGAACTTTGTCTTAAAGTAATTCATATTTTTTAGCGTTCCTGGCCTCTTAGCCTGAGCCTGGAGTTATCGAATACGCCTGGGATGGCCAAGGTCCTGGGTTCGAATGTGATCCGGACTCGTTTTTTAACGGGAAATATTCTGCTTCATATAAAATTGTCTGCCAATGTTTTTTTTTCTTCCCATCTTTTGTCGACTTAGTTGCCACATCATCGAAATAGTTTTTGTTGCTGCTCTCATTTTTCTTCAAGGTTGCTTTTAGTGTTTGGCTTATTTCTTCAAGTTGTAATTTTACTTAACTTGATTAGGCATTTTTTTTGTTTCGCTTAAAAACTTTATTCGGCTCAATTTATTTCGGCCTATTTTTTGTCAACTTAGTGACCTTAATTTGGGTCGTTTCAGGGAAACAATCTTTTCACTCCCCTCCGCGCTTCCTACTTTGGTTGTATTTTTACCACGCGGTTTGTTGAATTTTGTTCTTTTTTCGGCTTAATAGATTTCGACGTGTTTTATATCGGCTTAGTAACCTCTTTTTGAATCGTTTGATGCGCGAAAAAAGTTTTTGGGTGCCTTTGTGTGTTATTAGGGGAAGGGGGAGGCATAAAATTTTTTGATTAGTTATGAATTTCAAAAAAGCGGCATGAATAGATTCTGCTCAGGTTTTTTGGGCTTTGTCACAGCTTGGTTAATTTTTTTCTGATTCTTATTTTGCATTATATTACTTGGGTATGTTTTTTTCGCAATTAATTTCATTCATTTTGATAAGTCTAGTTGTACTACAAGTGGTGACAAGATCAGTTTGGCCTCTGTGTGTATTTTGTTTTATTTACACTTGCGATGCTAGTGTGTTTGTACGAACCTTCTTTTTTTCCGACCGAAGTCCATTCGAATATTGGTGCGGCAGTTTTATGGTGCGGCACCCCAATAATGGTGGGCACCTTTACAGCTTTTTGATAGCATGTGCTTTGGCTTTTGAATAGTAATAAGTTAGCACAGTTGATGCATTTTTAATTCATCAAATAAACCGAAAAAAGTTATTTGTTTCAAACAACATCACAATTATGAAAACTCGATTTCAGAAATTTTCTGACTCAATATATCTCGCAATTTTTTGAAATGCATAATTTATACATAATGTGACTCTATGCTTTGCAATTTGTTATATGCAAAGTTAGTGTGGATGCCTTCAGTTTGTTATATTCCAAGTTATTTATTGCAAAATTGAGTTTGTTTGTATTTGGTGCTGAATCGCATTAGCATTTGTTAGCATATGTAGCTGCTTTATTGGTGACTAGTGTTTGTCGGTAGTTAAGCCTGAGTGGCTGAGGGGATAGTGCGTGAGACTCAAAATCTCTTGATTGCAGAAGGGCGCGTATTCGAATCCTACACGTAGCCGAGTTTTTGCTAATTCGAGGCTTACTTCTACTTTTTCTTATTTCACTTGATAGAGCTGCTTTTTGGTCGTGTTCTCATAAGCATACTTAAGAGAATCATAAGCATACTTGTTGTTGCAGCTGCGAAGAAACTACTTCCACGTGAAGCCCCTGGAGCGAGGTCAGCTGAATGCGTGGAAGGAGTACATCAAGAGCATGGTGTCCCGCGAAGAGGCGGGGGAGGAAGGGGTGACTCGACTCAGAGTATTGTATCTATTCGAAAGATGTGTCATTACCTGTTGCTATTATGAAGACTACTGGCTCAAGGTTCGTATTACGCTTCTGGAACACGACGTCACAACAATTTTATATAATTGCAAAATATTTACCTGGATTAATTTTAATTGTTTTGTCCTTTTCCGAAGCAGCTGAAGCGAACCATTGTAGCTCAATGATTGACATGGAAGGTCTTGGCCTGTGTGTGACTCTGAACATTGGCGTGAAATATTGACTTATATTTGAAAATATATTTAAAAATTTCGAGATATATCAAGAAAATTTGGCCTAAATGATGGTTCTACGTTGACGGGCAGACATATTATTGGCATAGTTGACAAAAGTAGCAATTTGCCGAAGTTTTTGTTGATATGTTTAATCTTCAACTTTCAGCACCATCAGGCAAACTACGGGAAAGTTAAAGGACTATCTGCGAATCGTAATGAGTATTCTTCCCTAATTCAATTACATTTTAACAATCGAAATTGTAAGATTTTTTAGCGACTGGTTTATTTGTAAATTGGGCGCAGAATGAAACAATTATGGGTAACTATTGAGCGCTGATTGAATTAAAAGCCCCGATGACGAGCCAAAAGGACTACTAGCCGAGATGCGACCAAGAATGTGTGTTAGAGGTCTTCGGGCGAAGTCGTGCAATGACTTGATTGGCCACGAGGAGCGGTAAAACCAGTTGAACATTGGCCTACAAATAAAGAAATTATTTTCATTATTGAAACATGAGTTTCAGGTAGCTCGTTACGCTAGATTAAAAACTAACAATTTTTGCAATATTTTAGTATGTGTCGTATCTGGAAAACAACCAACTAATTGAAAAAGCACAGGAAGTTTTCTCGAGAGCAGGCAATATACATCTTCCAAAAAAGATCAATTTCCATTTGCAGTGGGCCTATTTTGAAGAGAATCACGGTTAGTTTTTGTTTCTTCCTTTTAAAGTTTTTGATCTTGAAACAAGCTCAATTTTTGATCAACTCGGAAAGCTTGATTTAGAGACTGTTGGCAATTAAAATACATAATTTAAACTGCAACCTACTAGTTGTTTAGCTGGCTTTGCTGTAAAGTTTTTGATTGCAGGCTTCAAGGAGAATGCGGTCAAAGTAGTTACAAATCTTGAGAACTTCCACCGAGAAGTGGTGAAGATCCCAGTGCTGAAAGCAGGAGTATACAGACGCATGTGGAATCTAACCAAGGCCAGTGAGGCGCTCCAGTCGGCCATCAACAACACCCGCTCCAGGGATCCATACGTATATTTGACCTTGAAGCTTGCCAGGTTCAAAGCCAAAGTTGAAGGTGATTTCAACGGGGCCCGCGAAGTCCTGCAGCAAGCTCTTCAAAAGTACCCGGTAAGCTACTGAGTCGAATATTTTGCCAGTTTGACAAAGTTATGGTCATTTTTAAGATCATCGGGGGTTGTCAGAAGGTTTGTGTAAAATTAACAGTAAAGTTATGGTATAAATGAAGCTGAATTAGAAGCAGAGACATTAGAACCTAAATTTGTTCTTTCTTTCAGGTGAATGAGAAATTGCACACGTGTATGGTAGACTTGGAGTACAGCGGACGACAAGCAGTGAACGTGAAGGCCTTCTGTGAGGCATGTGATACAGTGATAAACAATACCCAGATCCAATTCAGTACTAGACTTCGCTTCTGTGAGAGGAAACTAGAGCTGCTAGAAGATTTTGGAACTGAACTAGCTGAGTAAGTTAGCTGAGATAGAAAGAAAAATTTATCGATTTCAAAGAGACTTTTAAGTGTATTAGAAAAAGTAAATTGAGTCGAACACGATGCGATGTAAAAGATAATCATGATCAGTATGATTTCTACCGGACATGTATGTCGAAAGCAAAGTTACAATCTTTTAAAATAGTGATTAAGGCGGTCGCATTGAGATCGTGCGTTTGAGCCCCTAGCATGGCAATGATTTTGCATGAGGACGAGCTCTTTTTTGACCTCTAGCTAAAAACAACTTCCTCGAGTCGCGAAAGAGTTTCGCTCATTGAAAATAATTCATTCTGGAATATGGGAAAATAATAAAATTCTACTATTTAAGGCAGGTTGCAAAGTTTCTGAAAGAGCCTCTGCAGTTCGTAGAAACGAAAGTAATGATACTTATTTATTTTTTTTACTTCAAAAATACATTGAATACCAACATTCTCGTTTTTCCGACCACTTTCGTAAGGTTGGCAAGGAACTATGAGTTAATTTTCGATTTTGGTTATCTCAAAGAAAGCTCGTAGGTTCTAAAATGCTATCATATTAGCGCTCTTTCAGTCGTTATTCAGATTCTACTAATATGTTTTCTCTCAAGGTCGGAAAAAACGGTCTAAATATTTCCGTCTTTGGGATTATGTACGCGGAGGATTGACACCCTTACACTGAATTGTGGATCAATATGTGTTTTCTACGTTTTTATATCTGTTGATTATTATTTTTTTATAACTTATAAACCAATTCAATTCCCTTTGATAAACTAAAGCAAAAAAAAATTGAGGAAAAATAATAAAGATTGATTATTTTTTCGGATTTTAAAATTTATTGCAACGACAATGGTGCTCGGAGCATTCCGTGTAACTTGCAGAGCAATCATCTCTACTTTTGCAAAGGAACTAGGTATGCCTTTTTTTCTCATTTCTGTCTACCCCAAAAAAGCTACTACAGGATCGATTGTGGTATCATTTTGAAGCCCAATTAATTGTGATTCGGATTCCAAAAAAGTTTAACTTCAGAACAAATTAGACCCGACCTCCAAATTTATTTCATTGCATTATGGTTTTTTGTTTTAGCTACTAATTTTAGGCTACTAAAATTAGATGTAAAATTTGCATTTTTCACCTAATTCGAGCGCTCGTTCTAGAGAAAATGTCAGGAATTTTCGGGAAAAAAAACCAAATTTAGTCCTCTTTTGATTTGTTTGTCTTAAGTCAGAGGGTTAACCCAATCTGCTATTTTTTTTACTAGCTTTATAATTCCTTTGCGAATTTACGCTCTTTAATAACAAATCGCTAATGGAGGTAAAATCGAGCTTGACTTTTTAGTTAAAAAATTCCTCTTTGTTCCGATGTTCCGAGTCAATGAACGTTGTGAAAACTCTTATGGAAGTCGTGATATTTTTTCAGGAAAAATTTTAAAAGTTGTTTACGCTCAATCTGAATTTTTCGCGGTTTGACTTCTGACTTGTTTTAAATTCAATTATTTTCCTTTGTTAAAGGGAAGGCTTACTCCATTAGCAAACAGCGAAAGTGTTAAGTTCAGGAAAAATGTGATCGACTTTTAGTTTCGAAAGTGGAATTTAATTTTCAGATTTCCAGCGGGATTAACAATTTATCTATTGATCTAGTTTTTTCAAATTGGGTTAAATTTATCAAAATTGCGTCAATCTCTAATTGTTCTGAAATTTCAGAGAGGTATAAGGCCATTCATTTTTTTCTTTGAAGTTCGAAATGTTGATTTTTTTTGGTCATTGACTCTTTTACAACTGTCTGTTGGCTTAGTTTGATCAAAAAGATCAGTCCCAAAAGATTTGTGTAAAGTTCAAAGAGATTTGTGATGATAGAAGTTTTTCCTTGAATCCCGAAAGATTTCATGCAAAAAAATTGTCATTTTTTCGGTTTTATTGTTCATAAATACTTTTTTAAACTTTTTTCCAACTGACTGTTGGCTATGTTATTTGTTATTTCAGTGTTTTGTTATTACTATGTTTTTACAATACAACTTTTTTTCAGGCTCAACCACTTATTTTGGTAAATAACCTTATCTAGAATTCATATATATTTTTTGTATACAATTTCAGCATCGCAGCAGCTCGGGATGAGTATAAGAAGCTATCGAAAGAGAAGAGCAGTGAAGACGGACATTCAGCGAACGATGAACCACCTGAGAAGAAAGTAAGAGTGGGAGCTGGAGGAATTGCCGCAACTAGTATGACCCCACAGACGTCAAGTGACCCCACTAATAATGCTAATGGAGCAACAGGGGCTGGACAATATCCCAATTATTACTATCCATGGTCATATTATGGATCCCAACAAGTTAGTTAGACTACCCGTTGTTATTTTATTTTTCGGAATAGAATATCTGATAACGCGAGGCATGTACAATGTGTTTTGGAGCCTACAATTAGAAAATTGTAGGTTAATAATTTCCTTTTTTTTATTGGGCCTTGGAAGATTTTTGTTTTGGGATTTTTATGTTGGAATTCGTTGAGATTTCTTAAGCCTTATTTCTCAATGGTCTATATCAGTTTCTGTGTTAAAGTTGTGATGTATTTCGTTTCAGTACTCTCAGCAATATCCGCAGCAGTACTGGAATGCTCAGCCTCAGACAGCAGAAGCCGCCTCAGTTCCCCCTACTTCAGTAAATGACGTCACATTATCTTCATACTCATCCAAACCATCTGCAGCAACTGCAGTCAGCTGACCTATACTGACCCCTCGATGACGTCATGAAACTTAACTAACTATATAATACAAGCTCGTGTTAAACTGTTATTGTTCATCTACAGAGTCAACTCGGACTAGTTAGATGCGTTTTATTGTTGCCCTCGCTTATGAATCATTGTTGCTTAAGTCCAGTTGATGTATCAAAGGCATATATATGTATCCGAAGTTTGGTTCGCTAACCAGTTTTAGTAATGTGAGGAAATTTAGTTTTCGTTTGTTCGGTTCAGTTAAAAATATAGAAGACAGAAATCCGTAGCGATTTTTATTCCTCAAAAGTTTTCGTGTAGAAGTGTAAGAACAATTCCTGGAAATAAAGAATTGGTTACAATTAATACATATGGTACATAAATCTTTTCTCACTAAGTTTTTCATTATTAAAAAAAACGAAAGATGTGGAAAATACTCAAGTTGATTTCTCGTTTTTAAAAGTACTACATGTACTTGCACAATAGACGAAAGTGTTTTTAATAATGATTTTACTGTAGGTCTTAAACTAAATGCACGTTATCAAAATAAAATTTGATTTGCTTTGTCTGCGTGCACATTGTCTTCAAGCATAGCAGGTTGAACTTTGATCAAAAGCACGAATTATTTTTATCACACCGTCTCTGTGACTAAAATATGACAAGTGGGGCGGGTAATTTGCATTCTGCATCCTTCAAAGCTGACTTGTCGAAAGTTCTGTCAACTGACGCCAAAGATGCTGTGCTAAGATGGGCGGACACTGCGCCAGAGGAAGAGCTGAAAGTTGTCACTAAGTTCTTCCAACAGGTAGATAAATCGTATTCGAGATTTAATGTGAACGTTCGAAACAAAAGATAAATCCTAATATTAAAAATTACCCAGTTTATATAAATAGCACTGAAAACTTCATGTCTCGAGATCAATTTCTGCAACTTAATGGTGTCAATTAAATTTACCTATATTTGGATTTTTTTCATCTGAATTATCAATAATGATCGGAACAGACTTTTTTCTAGACAAACAGTTTGTCTAACAGCTTACCAACTCCGATATGGTAAACTCATCGGTTTTTTTTCGTTTTTCTATTTAATCAGCTTAAAAGGGTTCAGCGTATTTTATATTGGCTTGATGGCCTAATTTTTGCATCGTTCGAAGAGCGAAAAAAGTTATGCATGTTTGTTTTAAAGGGGTACTGAAAAACGTCTATATTTTTACTTATAAGTTTTTGTTGTATCTAATTTTTTTCAACGGGTGCTAATCAAATATGGATGGCTTTGTTACCGATTCGTTATTTCTGTTCCGAGGCTGATTTTTCAATCAATTAATTTTCCTGGCATATTAATCTGTAAATCAATTTTATTCTAGACAATTCGAAACACAATTTCTGATTTGTTTTTAAATATTTAATTTTATTTGGATTTATCTGTGTTCATTTTCTTTCGCCAGGTTTGCCGTGCTGTGTTTATGCTGTATCGCAAGTCATGCAGCACTTCAATTCGCATCTGTGTTTTTTGTAGATACAAACTATATTTGCCGGTGAGCTTGTTGCGCTATCGTTATTACCGCTTGAGGTGAGTTTTGTCAAATTTCATTAAACTTATGAACTTTCGAACGCATTTTTTTGATTAAAATTTTTGCCTGATTTTGTTAATGAAATAAATAGATTTTCTTTTTCACTTTAATTTTTTTTTTCTAATAAGTAGAAGAACAATTGTAATAGAGTATTATGTCAAACTTAGATATTTCATTTCATGTTTTCTGTAATTTTATTTAGGCGACAATTTTTTGCGCGAAGTTTCCTTTTTCTCAATTTCTTTATATAAAAAGGGGCAAATCAAATACTTATAGTTTAAATTACCAAAGTTTGATATGTATCATTTCCGAATACTAGCAAAACACGCATGGAGTTTTATCTGAAATGTATGGTATTTCAGCTGTTTTCATAAAGCAGGATTTTGGAAGATGTTTTTTTTTATCTCGCAAGAAATGAATTAGCAGTTGTCGAAGTCTCGGGGGAAAAAACCGGGCTGTAAACGTAGCGTAACCAAAAGTTTTAAGCCATACTTACCATGAAAGGGTCGACAAAAAAATTTTACGTCAATCAACTTACGCTCGTAACAAAACGGAACACCATTACTTTTGAAGATTCGATTTTTCAACCTTAATATAAAAAAGAGAAGTGCCAACAAAAGCCAATGTGACACTGGCGGAGCGAGCGTAAATTGATTAATTATAGATCATGATCATGCAGTTCAATTATTAAACACGCGAGCAGCTAGTATTTTAGTACCAACTTATTTTAAACCTATCTCCCAAATAAGTGTTTGCATATTTGGTGGCTTTTTTGCCAAAACCAACATCTAGTATTGAAAATTTCGGCGTTTGTGACGTACTAAGCGAGCGCGGCTGAGTGGTTAGTGCGTTATACTAATAATCTCTAGGCCGGTGTAGGTCGAAGATCGAATCCGAGACGTAGCCGAACTTTGCTTATTCGAGGCTTATTTCTATTTTGTTCATTGCACTTTTAGAGCTGCTTTTTATCGTGTTTTCGCTAGTGTTTGCGAAGCGAAGCTCGGCTCTGTGTTAAATAAGCCAATAAACAAATACATGATTAAAGTTTCTCCGTACTTGTTTGTTTTTCTAAATCCAATAACCGAAAATCTGAAGCATATGTGAAATTGTAATAAGTCGCAGCTAAATCGTTTATTTCTTTTTCAAAGCAAATTTTCTTGGTGAAAATATTTGGTGCAGTGTTTTCAAGTTAGTGTAGTTTTTTTGCCGCATTATGCACATTTTCATTCCGCATTGGTGTGCAAATTTTTTAGTTTAAATCACTGCGATCAACCGTAAACTAAGAAAAACATTACCTGGAAGAACTTGATTTTTACCCGAAGAACTTGCTTACATGTCTCTAGATTTTTATATATTCACTAATAAATGTTGTTAAAAGATTGAAGACTATTGCTCTCGCGCGCATCAAGATCTCTGGTCATTGTTTGAGGATGAAGCAATGGGTTTCAAAACAAAAAATGGCAGAAGACTTGCATGTAGGACTAAGGCTCAACGTCTGGTTTCGTTCAGACCCAAATAGCTCAGTTGTTGACTTTGTCTCGGCCCAAAATAGATGAATGGCTGAAGTCAAGCTAATACATAGAAATTCATTCAACAATCCTTCTATTGTTTTTTTTTTCAAAAGGTGGGTCAAGACGAAGCTGGTAAGCGACTGGACAACATGCCCAATTTGGACAAGTTGCGTAATGCTGACGTCATCCGAATAATTAGAGACAGGAGCAAACGACTGCGTCTTCTCAGCCCAGAGACCCGAAAGAAAAAGTAAATCAAAGCTGACATCTTTCTCAATAATTTGATACCTTGTTTTGATTTAATACTTTTACTGAGGCGAAAATAAAAAAGCAAAAAGGGAATAGTGATATTAATAGCTCGAGTATTGTTTCTATTTTTGAAATTAAATATGGTCTCAATCGTTCAACAAGAACTGAAATGGTTTTCTAGAGCGATCGAGCAAGAAAACTTCCCTGCTCATTTTCTATTCTGTTCAGGTTTGAGAAACAGACTTGGCATCACATGCCTCCCACGAAGACAGGGCCATACGAGTGTCTACAGTCTCACTACTGCAACATCAAACCCCCCATGAGGAGACACTACGTCTACCATCCGGACTTATACCCCTAAATGACCATACATGGCCTTACATGACAACTCTAACAATGACAACATCGCTAAAACATGCCACAATAACAAACACCATACATGAATATGTGACTATGAAATGCTATAAATGTATGGACATTAAATACTTGTTCTATGCAAACTCTTTTAAATCTGTCACTCACTCCAGCTAGCTAATTTCGCCTTAGATTAGTTAACAAAGCGTATTTTTACAGTGTTTAGTTTGACACTTCTTTGTGAGCAGAAAAAAAAACAGTTTTAGAATAATAATTAATTGTGGATGCAGACATAAAAATCAAACGGTGGTTTCCAATCTATAAACTCGGCTAGTTTGGTAGATGGTACTTGAATCATAGCCATTCCCGTTGCCTCCATTCAAATCCCTGTTTTCCGAGTTGTTGTCTGAACTGCTAATGTTGTAAAGAGACTCTCCGGGTGCTTTGGCGACAGTTGTGCGTCGGTATCCTCCCGGAGTCCTCGGCTGTTTCGGAGAAGATTCCAGCTCCTGTGTCTCAAATGGAACTCGTTTTTCAATCAAAAGCTCCGAGTACATTCCTTGTATGTTATTTGAAATGCTTCCAAAACTGACATTTTTCTTACTTTTTGGCATAATCAAGTCGACGTTGCCTTCGATTTTGTTTATTGTTTCGGGTAAAGGTGAGTTTTTGGTTTCGGGTAGAAACATAACACCAATTGATGCTAATAGGCATAAGACTGACAGAGTCGCAAAAAGAGCATTCAGCCACCAAAGCTCTCCTAAAAGGAGAGCTACAGGCGATAACAAGGCGCCAACTCTTCCGAACATGGAGTTGATCCCGATGCCGTTATTACGTAATACAGTCGGGTACAGTTCGGCTGAGTAGACATAGGCAATCGCAAATCCACCAGTGATGAAAAATTTTCCCAGCATAGCCGAAGCTGTGACGGCAAAGTGCATGTCTGAAGGTATGAACACACAAGCCATCAAAGAGACAGAACTGAGGAGGAAGAAAATGATGAGAGGGATTTTCCTGCCCAGTTTGTTGATCATCGGGAAGGCGATGATGGTTGCGGGTATCTCCACCAGTCCTGACACCACGAGGGGGATGTTAAAACATGTATTACGACAGTTTATTTTTTACGCTAGGGCTTGCAAGGAAATTTCGCAGCAATTGAAAAATCACAAAATCAAAATTTTGCTCACATTTGCTTTTTCTGTCATTCGATTTAAATGCATTTTTATAGTGTTTTTATTCAATTTTTTAAGCATTTGATACACTTTAAGCTCCTTCATAAGAGATTAATGGCGCCTCTGATCCCAAAGGTTGGTATTTAGAGGCAAAAGTTGCATGGAAGGTCTTAACTAAATTATATAACAGCAGCTCATTGTTTAGAGCCTAAAAGCTCATGCGTTGGTCAGTTGTCTTGTCGATAAAGGTTCTTAAGGTAACTTTAAGATCAAATTTATGGCTAAATTAATTATTTGTTTGTTTTTACGTTTATTTGTTTTGTTGTTGTTTTAACAGCCCTACCTGAGAGACATATGTTGAGATATAGGTTGCCTCTGAACTGATCAACCATGAACGACATGGAGTAGTATACCATGGAGAGCACCAGCCAAATGCCAGAAGAGATCAGCACCCGAGTTCTCAATTTGGGATACCTGGAAAAGATCATTCCAACCATCTGAAAAGTCTAGATAGCTTAAATATATTAATTTCTTTTCTCTTGTATGTCAGTTTTTCTAAAGCTTGGAGTCATAATCTCATGATGAGATACTGTTCGAGATTTGAATTAAACTCTATAACGTTAAATTCCCAAACCTGACGACAACAAAATGTTTTAACTTTATGTGAAGAAGATTTCCTTGTAATTTTTAACACAGAAATGGTTTAACGTTTCTGTATAATAAAAGTTCTCAAAGCAAACGAAAACTTATAAAACTACCTTAGTAGATCCAAAACTGAAGTTGTGGAACTCATGTTGGCTGAAGTGACTGCAGTATCCGCCGTCACCGATGACATCCTGGATCCCCTGAAGATACTGTTCTTGTCGTCCCCCTCCACTCCCCCTCCGCCACAGCTGTCAATCATGTCCTTCTCTCGGGCGTCAGTGTGGTGGTGGAATTTGTCCTTCAGCTCCTGCCCAAGTACTACTCCGTTTTCCTTCGCCATCTTGTGGATGACCTGCGTATTCATTATTCTATGGTCCTGAGGTTCATTAAGGGTTCATTAAACGACTAAGATACTTTTTTCATAGAATTACTATTCCATTAGTAACTAGCCGCTTACAATTTTTTTGTAAATTTGATTTTTTTCCCGAAAATTTTTTCCCGATTTATTTGCGCAGTAGTTAGCCAGTTTTTTTGTTCCAGTTTGATTTGTTCAAGCTGACATGTGTACATAATTAAATTAAATTAAAATGCCACAATTTTAAATAGAAACGATGGGATATTGCAAACCAAAATGTCAATGTGCGTTTTTTTAACACGCCCTACCTCCGAGGCCTTGCGGAGGTTTCCAGTGATGATGAGCCAGCGAGGGGATTCTGGGATGGCCTTCCAGTAGAGGAAGAGAAGCATGGAAGAGAGGGAGATACTCATCTGGAACGTCTTCCAGTTCTGGATGAAGTAGCCCAAGGCCGCCAGCACTATATAAATAAAAAAAATCTATCAGTAAACCCAAAAAAATGTTTCAGTGATTGAAGAAATGAGCTTGTTCAAAGTGTTATTTGAGCACCCAAAAATATTCAAAAGAACTATAAGATATAATTAAAATCAAGACAAAATGATCGAAACGTCCATTTGAAAAGCAATTACATTTGTGATTATGCTTTTAATTTTGCCGACTCCTTGTGCTTTTGTACACAGGATAATCATTGATCGTTCTGGAAAATTAGATCAGGGATAAATTTTGATGTGAATGATGTTATTCTTTTGAAGTAAATGTTTTGAAGCAAAAACTTGAAACAAGCAAAAACTGGAAAATGCAGATGTTTAAGTTACCGAGGTATCCGAAACCGAACGTGATCTCGTAACCTAGTCCCACGAATGTCCTGTACTTGGGCCCGACTAGTTCGCAGCCGAGGACAAAGATGACGAGGTAGAGTCCGGCAGTGGTCGTGCCCACGAGGAAGCGCATGCACATGAAACTCACATAGCTGTACATGAAGGCCAAGATGAACCCAAAGAGCACCTGCAACACAAAAAAAAATTGATTTCACAATTGCTATGTTGTTTTCGCGTTTTGTTATTCTAGTTTTCGAAGCAACTTGAAAGCTGTATGTCGTTCTTTAATCGAATCACTCTGATGCGAACTTAGGATTTTGTTCGAGGAAGGGTTGGGTTAGTGGTTAGGTCAGAATTACAAAAAGCGCTCAATTTTGACAAACTTAATTAAAAACTTGGGTTTTTTGTGTGCACTCCCATAGAAAAGTTAGCTAATAATTGCGCTAAACAATTTTGGGGTTTGAAATAGATTTTTTAAGAAACTTACCGTTTTTCGCAACTTTTTCTGTCTTCGGGTTGCAACTACGACTAAGCATTTGCTGCAGAAGTTTTTTTTCAGCGTCCGCATTTTTAACTTGGTTATCTATTCAAAGCTTACGTGTTTTAATTTTTGGTTGCTTTGATATGATTGAACAGTTTGATTAGAATTCTCTGCGAGAATTTTTTGAAGCTCTTCAAAAGCATTTTCGATGTTTTTTTTCTTTAAAATTTTTTTCTTCCAATTTTTTGTTATTTCAACATGAATAGCATCGTTAAGTTGTTTATTGATTTTTATTGATTTTCGAGATTCAACCCGTTTGTGCACTTTTGTAGTTCTTCGCTTGGGAACAATATTTATAAAAGTTACTGCGTATTGATCATTTAGAGACGTTTTGAAAAATTCTTTATTTCCGTTTTCATGGCTGCTACAAAAAATCCAAATAACTTTTTGATTTGTAACGATCAAATCACAACATATTATATGTTTTGTTTCTGTTGTCAGCATTTAAGAACCCAGATGAATCTGCTGTTTTTCTGAAGATGTTTTGTTCATTGATATTGGGGGAATAATAACTGCTTTTGAAACAGTACAAAATTTTGCGTGTCAAGGGCAATGGTTAAAACTTGAGTTTTGTTAACCGTTACCTCGCCTGTAAAAATGTAAATTTGGTCTTCACTAACATAAACTCCCCACCCGCCTTTCATTATTCTTTCTGCAGTTTTTTTCAACCAAATGATATCCCTCGTGGCTAAAACCCTTGCCGTCCAGGTCATTTTTGAACCAAGTCTCGGTTAAGCATTTTGTCACTGGCAATTCCTCAAGAATGAACCAAAACATGCAGCACATCAAAAGTTAAAAAATTTGTGTTGTGCGGCTTACATGCTGTGCGGTTTTTGATGCATTTGATGAATGAAAATTAAGGAGAAAAAAGGAAAACATTTTTTTTTGGCTGTTTTAATTATAAAGCACCAGGATAAACGAAGATAAATTTCGATCTTACCTATTTGAATTAAAACAGGCTAAAATTTCAATTTTCAAAGCTTCCCAGGTGTATTCTTGTCCCGGTAATAGCCGGTCGCGAACTCACTACCTGACACAAAACTGACCAACGATATGGTAACTTAGCCCTCAGGTTTCTGGAGATTTACAATAGCCAGAAAAAAATTACAGTTTTCAAGTTAAAAAACATGCGTATAGATTCTATCAGTGGATTTAGTTTTTTAGACTTCCTAGCTTCTTAGAGTTGAAAATCAATTTTGTGGTAAAGGTAATATGGTTTTCTTCTTTTGCTTTTAACTTGGTTTGCTAGCCTGTAGTCCGATGACTGAGAACATGGTGGCTCTTCTTCCGTATTTGTCAGAGAGATATCCGATCAGCATGGCCCCCATCAACACACCCGCCATGAACACTAGACTACTCACCCTCTTCAAATACTTCTTCTCACACACCAACTCAAACTGAAACAGAGACGGACCACAAAAGTGATCAAAAGTTTACTAATTGTAACTCTTATCCCGTCGTTGAATTGTGCCGCACTATGGTTGTGATTTTCTATGATTGCGATGGTTTCCTACCAATAATTTGAGTACGGGTGTTAACCGCAACTTAGTTGCAATTTGCAAAGGTGAGATCTTGTAAAATAACCTTAAACAGATAACTGTAAGTAAATAACCTCAGTGTTAGCTCTCTGGCTGGTTCAATAAAAACTCGTCAGTTTTATTCGTACCTGGTTAATCATTGTGACCCTTCCTGTTCCATTTGAGATGAAGTGGTATCCCTGTTGGCAGTTGACCACCTCACAGTCGGAGAAATCAGTGCGGTTGTCGCGGTAGCACTGGGGTGCGAACATGTGACACGACTCCCAGTCCCGCGATACTCCTGTCCGACCACTGGGCACAGTCGGGAACAGAATAGGATATGTGTCGTTTTCAAAGTAGCCGCTGTAGAACTGAAATTGACAAGCGATACATTTCGGTTTAGTCATTTAGTTATTTTTTTTTAAGTTAATTTGATTTAGTTAACACATGGTTTGTTATTTCATGTAAAAATAAGGGAAATGCACAGGGAAATAAATGACATAAAAATGAGCCTCAGAAGTCGTATAATTAAACATTTAGCAGAAAATTGGTATAAAAACATAACGTCGAACTCAAACTCCCAGCCCGTTAAAAAGCAAACCTCTTGACCTTCATTTTTAAATAGCATGTTTGTACTCCATGATTAACACTTGAAAAATTAACACTTCCGTATTAGTTGAAAAAAAAAACATTCAAACAATACTTAGAGTTTGCCAATGTGATCCTGTAAAAGTCTCTTTTTCGTCTGAAAGTTGGAAAGCTTAGCGCTAGTTGAATGTTTTCAGAATGGGCATTCTGAACAAATGAACAATTCTCGGCACTTCATTGTTCTTCTTTTTTTCTCATTACACCATTATATCAAACATTTATCACTATAAACTTGTAAAATTCTTATAAGACTTGAAAATTCGCAATGAACGGGGGGAAGATATATCGAGATTCATAAATGGAGACTAACGTTGGCTGTTTTGATTCTATTTGACTTTAAGGACTGACCGTGTGCATGTTGGGTATATTGCAACAGTGTGGTATCTCAGCTGACAAGACTAAATCGGCCAGCCAGTTGACGCAGACGGGGATGGCGATGAGGTTGAGCAGGAGGTATCTGAGGTACTGGTACTTCCCTATCCCACCTACCTGTAACAATCCAATCATCCACCCGGGTTAAACTTGGTCCCCTTTTTAGGAACTTTTGGGAAAACGGGCTGGATGAGCCCAACTTGCACTGAAAGAAAACAAATGAGCTCAATTTTTAGATTAAAATTCTTCATTTTTGTTCCTCTTCTTCTCAGAAGTTCGTTTCAAAAATTGGGCTTTTTTTATGAAATAAGACGAATGAGCTCAATATTCTAACTATTTGTCTCATACGTACGTTTTTTTAAAAGTGAGCTCATGATACTTGAATCAAGAAGAAAAAAATGAAAGTAACTCATGGATTGGTGGAAAAAGAGGTAGCAGAAGACTCGATTATATAGAATCGCTTGTGTATTCATCGAAAATAATTATTTCGTTCTTATTTTAGGAAACAAAAAACTGCGATTAGTGACAGCGTAGCTAACGGGCTATACTGAAAAATTTGGTATCAACATAAAATGACCAAGCACGAAAAGAATCTTACATGTTTTAAGCAAACAAAAGCGTCATGCTAATTTGGCGAAAAAGCAAAATTTCAGACAATTTCAGCTAACTTCGAGAAAAATTGTTCATTGTTTTTCAATATTGGTTAAACTTGGGCTGAAACAGGTTTTTTTATCATATATCACTCGACTGTAATTGACATCTAAGAGAGAGAGAGAGAGAGAGAGAGAGAGAGAGAGAGCAAGAAAGTTAAGTGGTGTCAGGGCAAAAGACCCCAGGTACTAAAATTGTCCATTAACATAAAGACAGGATGTCACTTCTGTCTATGCCAAAGCTATACGAGAATAATATCTGAAATTCGTCCAAAAAACTTTAAAAACCCCATAGCGAGCTAGTTTCTGCACTGACTATAGTAAATGTTTTCAGCTTTGTAACAGAGTTCAAAACAGAAAATTTTTTTGACGTCGTTGGTGAGGAGAAACGCATGGTAGTAACCGAATTGAATAAAACACAAATGCAGTTTTAATCATTACGAGGCCTTACTGTGTATTTTGTGAGTTGCTAGCGGTTTCCTCAACAAAGATGCTCTCTTTCTTCTTCTTTTGTTCTTACGCTTTCTTTGATCGTTCTGACAAAACTTAACTTGTTTAAAACTTGTCTCTGGATTCCAGAGACATACATGAGCCAAATTGTGCGCCTATCCAGAGCACAATTTGGCCTCGTAATGTAATTTTATTCGGTCGTTATTTTTGGTTCAAATTTCTACAAAATTGACTGAACATCTATGCTCGGAGTAAATATATTTTTTTCTACAGACGAATATTTTAGTTTCATCATTTTCAAGGACTTCGTTTATTCAATCTAAAAATAACAGTAGCTGGTCTCCGAAAAAACTTAACTGCATTTTTTATTTGTGGGTTTGAATCGACAAAATACAAATCCTTCTAAGCTGAATTGAGACAAACAGTGGGATCTCATTAAAGCGCTGCCTGGACAAAACTTATCAACTTGTATTTTGTATAGCGTATGTAGTATAAAATTAAAATGAAGCGCCACTTAACTCTCACTATTTTTTCAATTTTTCAGTAAAAAGAGTTTCTAAAAAAAAATCAGTTACAGCTTTAAACTCAACAAATACAAAAGTAAGTTTAAAAAAGTTAGAACAGTTCACAAGTTGAATAATCCAAAAAGTTTTAGACTTGCAAGGGCTAATAAGCTTGCCCCAGAAAAAACAAAGTAATTCATCAAAAAATTTAGCAGATATACAGACGAACACTTTGACTTAAGATCCTCTTTCCAATAATTTTCCTAGTTAACCTCATAAATTAATTCAGGGTTTTTTCGCAAATAAAACTTAAAAGCGCGGTCTGATTTGTCATTGACTTGTTAAAGTTTTAAATTTTGCATCAATTTTTTATCAGTAACTTCTTAACTCGCATTCAAAAGTGCTGTAGCAGGCAAATCTGCCAACAATTGTTTTTATTATGGGACGCCTAATAAGTTTGGCAAAACTTTGAGCATCATTTTTTATGTTTACAATTCAGAAAAAAAAACGATCAAAAATGTTGAATGAATTATCTCACTGCCGGATAGAGCTGCAAGTATTTGGTCAGCAAAATAATTTCAGAGCTAAAGAGTTTCGCAAAAAACCTTCTTTGAAAGTTTTTATCGGTTTGGTTTGTAGGAAACACTTAGACATTTAAGTAATTGAAGTTTTTTTTTGGTTTTCCGGATTATAATTGACAGAGGTTTTTGTGCTTTGATTCAACATCTTTATTTACAATTCATTGAAAGTCATTTTATAAGTTTTTTTCAAGGTGTTTTATCTCGTGAGCACAATTGAATTAGAGAACTTTTGCGACTGAAATCTGTCTAGAGACAACAGTTCTAGACAGGGGCGGATTTAGGGGGGGGGGAGCGGGGGGCGGACGCCCCTCCCCCCAGGGTTTCGACCCCCTGCTGACCCAAAGGGTCCCCCCTTTGATACTTTTTCAGAAATCCATTTTTGGCCGACCGACCCTAAAATTTTTCTATAGGCGCCTCTGGCTCCAATATATACTAACTTTGAGGGGGAGCGCGCGCCAAAAAAACTCAATTTTTTTTTGTCAAAATTTTTCAAAAAGTGCCCAAAAACGGCTTTTTTGACTGTTTTTTTTTAAATTTGCCTGCGGCGCAGAAAATTTAGCCAAAATAGGGGCAAGACAGTGCTTTGGGTAAGCTCGAAAAATCAATTTGGTCGGCCTAAAAAAAAGTCGTCAAAATTTTCGAGAGTTTTTTGAAAATCCGCCCCCCTCGAGAAAATCCTAGATCCGCCCCTGGTTCTAGAGATTCCAAGCAAAATAATTTTCCAATTTTTGTTGAAAATCATGCAGGATAATCTCGCAGTTTGATGAAACGTATACAAAAAAAATCGCAAATCCAATTAGCATAATTTTTTCGCGTAATGATTCCAATTCACATAATGATGAATAAGTCCGTAAGTTTTTTAGGGAAAGCGTGAAAAATATAGGGTCACACATTTGTACTCATGCATTTTGCAATTATAGTACTAGGGCGGGTCTCGTATTTTGAAAGATGGCGGATTTTCAAATAAAAAATCAAAAAATTGTCGAACTTTTTTTATTTTGAGTTAATTGATTTCCCGAGCTCTCTAAACAAAGCATTAAGGCTTATTTTGAGAAACATTTCTGCGAGGCAGGCAATAAAAACAGTCTAAAGTCGTTTATGGGCCCGTTTTGGAAATTTTTGCCCAAAAAAGTGCGTTTTTTGGCCAGCGCTCCTCCTCATAATTGGTATAATTGGTATAATTGGCGCCAAAAGCTTTTTTAGAAAAAAGTAAGGGTTAGTAAGGCCAAAAATGGACGTCGTAAAATACTACCAAAGGGAGGACCCTTTGGGCAGTCAGGGGTGGAGGTCCTGAAAAGAAAAGGCGTCCCGTCACCCACCCTCCCCCTTGAGCCCGCTACTGAATACTACCTCGGGAAGAATGTCCTCGTCGAAGTTGATGGGCTGGGTTATGTGTATACTGTCTATGGTAGATCGACTCACACACGTAAGACTCATCTCGATCCCAGGCCGTAATCGAGTAACAAAAGAAAAAGTATACGAATTAAAAAAATATATTTGAAAAAATGTTAAAGAACTGTTCCAATTACTGTTGTATTCGAAAATTAGAATACTCGGGTTTTTTGTCAAGGTATTTTTCAACGTTTTCACCCACAATTTAAAAAAATTATGAGCTGTTTTTATTTAAAAAAAACATAGAAACGTAGCTCCAAATTGCGCTGGGCCGCGATAACAAAAAAGCGTTGGGCCGCGATAACAAGTCTCAACGCAAAGGTCAGGGATCTTTCGTTTCGAAGGTTTGTGGTTATTCAGTCTTGATAGTTACACAAGCAGCTGCGTGGCCGCAAATTTTAATATATGAAAGCGAACAGTTTGGTTGATTGGTTTGACAATGGATTAACTATTCGTATGGATGAAGTTTGGGCACACACAATGACTAAACGTATAACAAATTGACAGAAGAAGCTTCTTTATCAAAGCGAAGAAAGGGGTTTGTTTGTTTAGAAAGGGTCAAGAGATAAGTGAAACAGGATCAACGCCTTAGTTTTTCAGCTGAAGCACAAAAGCTCTTCAGACTATTCAAATGTCAAAACACTTTGAAACCTAGTCTTATTCGGACGAATACATTATAAGACTGATTCTATACCTTAAAAAAATCTCATTTTAGAAATACGCGATATCTACACAGAAATCTAAAAAAAATTCTGAAGATGGCGCGCTTTTGTTGAAGCTTTCAGCTAGTATTGAAATTTTTGTTTGATCATTTTAAAAAAGACCTAACTGTTTAATTTACGTGACTCTTTTTTGCGGTAGCAACACTACCAGAACATGCTTAGTGAAATTGCAAGATATCTTGTACAATTTAGCAATAATTTTACAAGAACTTACAAGATAGTTTTGTGGGGCATCTTGAAAGATCTTGCAAAATAGCCCGCCACATAGAAGATCTAATAAGATAGGTCATTTCTGTAGGAATCTTAGAAGATCTTACAAGATTGGTCATTTTCGTCAACAAGTGTTGGAAGCTGGCAGTCTTCTTCAGAATGAAACAATAGATAACAGCTGTGCTCTTCTTTCATTGATCAAGAGTTCTATACCAGAAAAAGTTGTGCGAGTGGCGCTGATGAATTGTTTTTCACGCAAATACAAGCTCAGCTCAATAGTAAATAAGTTTCAATTTTTTTTTCAGAATATCTTTTTCATTTATATTTCCCAATCACAATTTGACTATAACGATATGTTTTTTTAAATTGGAGGAACGACAATACAACGTCTAACAGCAAACAAGAGAAACTTTTTGCCTAGGTGGATCTAAGATTTTTTTCTATGCAGGGAGTGGGGTGGATTTTCGAAAAATTTGAGGATATTTTTAGATCGACCAAATTGGTTTTCAGAGCTTTCTTAAAACAACAAAAAGAATACTGTAAAAAAAACAACAAGATTAATGCAGCCAAATTCTTGAAAACAACACGCCAAAAAAGTTTTTGGCCATTTAGCGCCAAAAATTTCCTGTACACCACATATTTGTCCTGATACACAAGCAATCTTGTTTTCCCCAATTGACTATTATTTGCAGAAACTGATCGCAGGCAACGCAACGTATTTTTATAGTTTTTGAGTTGACTTATTTGAGATATTATTAAAACAACCCATTAAAAACGACTAGCTGAGTTTGTCAATAAGAAGTTTCCGCGGATGGATTATACGCTGCAATGAAACAGAAAGAAAACAAGACTGCTCGTATCAAGGCGAGGCCCTGAATGTTCCGACTGCCTCTTCAGATCTATGGAGCAGTAATAACGTGGAAAAATTAAATGTAAAAATAACAAGACTGCTAGTGTATCAGGGAAGAGTCCTTCATTCATATCGAATAGTTTTTGAGAAAATAAGACTTTGAAAACTTGTAAAATTTGGACAATATCAAAATTTGAAACGTTGAGTCGTACGAAATTAATACGACCGATCCAATTAGCTGGCCTCAATTCAATTTTGAACGATTTTGTTATGCGGGATAATTCACGCATAAATAGTTTGCGTTATGCACTCAGCAACATGGATAAATTCTTCAAAGCGCAAATAATTTAATCCAGAACTTTTAGCAATTTTCAAATCCCCAGAACTTTACAAAAAAATCGAAGGTAAAATATCTTTTTATATTTTAACTCAGGAAGTCAATATTTTTTGTCGAAAACTCTTATTTCGATCGGCGAAAACTGACTGAATGAAAAAAAAAACACGGAGCATATATATTCCGTCTTCTTTGAAAATCGGAACAAAAACGATTTTTTTTATTCTAAATTTTTTGTGAAATTTATCCCCCCGCACGCCATATAAAGTACAAAGTGATAGATTTTGCTCCTAGCAACAAATCACTTATGGCAAATAAGCTTCAATCAATTTGGAACGGTTTCTAAGACGGATTAAATCTCCGCTTACGCGTTAATGGCGCAAAATATATCGCGCGTTGATTGTCACAAATTGGTCAAAATGGCTATCTTCATCCCCCATAACTTTACAAAAAATGATCACAAGTGAAATATCTTTTTCAATTTAAGCTCAAGACAACAATACTTTTTGAATGATATTAAAAATCCCGTCAAAAAAGGCTAGTTAAAAAGTCGGGACCAAGTTAACATCCTCCCCCCGTAAGGCCATTTGGGGGTAGGGGTGGAAAGGTTGTTATTTCGGTTCTAGTTGAGATTTTTCAACCAATCAGAAGCGAGCATTTTTTATACAGCGCTTAGCAAATTAAATGCAAACTAAATGCTGGGGTGGAGGATCTTAACTTGATCTATCTGGGGGGAGGATGTCAACTTGATTCAAAAGTCGAAGTTTGTCTAATAATAACAAAAAATTGTTTGCAATGTAGATTCCATTCACTGTAACATTCACTACATTTACAACCAAATGAAATCTCATTGCAAAAACGCCTTGGAACATGGCGCCTCTGAAAAAACCACCACGAGCACAAATATTCCGTTACTCTCGTTATTGAAGTCGGAACAAAAATTGGATACAAAAAGTTCCGAACTAGGCTGAAAATGGTATTCGTAGCTTTACACAAGCAATTGCTTGTGTGATTGTGAGGTAAATTAAAACTTCTTTTGAAATCAATTGCAATCACTTACGAGTTGCCTTTAAAACACTCGAAATCGAGCTGAGAAAAAAAAATTTTAACCCTGAGTTTTGTACAACGCTGGCCTTATAGTTCGAACAACAACTGCAAGTTTTCTGTAAAACTACACTTCAATTATCAGAAAAAGTTATATTTTACTATTAAATCGGCGTGTTTATATCAGTGAAACATCTCATAACAAGTTTCCCATTTGCTAATGCATGGTCTGTTGAACATAAGGCACTGTTCTATCTCATTTAAACCTATTTGGAGGAAATTAACTTTATTGTTCCAACTTTCGAAGAAAATGACGGATTATTTACGTTCGTGTGTTTTTTTCTCCAGACCAATATCGATTTTTTAAGCAACAGTTTTTCAACAAAATTTTTTAAATACGCATCTTCTGAAAGTCAGTGATGTCCTATCCTGATTTCAAACTTAAAAAGATATTTTACCAGTGAAATTTAATCCATTTCGGCTAATTTGGGATATTACGTGCTATGAACTTAATTGTTTGGACAATTGTTTGCGAGACATTTATGTCCCGGAAGTCACACTCCAATCCTTCCAAACTGAAACGTGGCAGGATATTTATTAGGCGTTAGCAGACGCTAAAAACATCTTTTTGTACATAGAATAGCGTGTGGGACAAGTTTTCAAAAAAGTTCCGAGAAAAAATTTCTAAATTTTTTCATTAAGAAAATAGTATCTATTTGTTCAATATATCTTGTCAAAATCAGTTTCAAAGATGTATAAGACAGTTGGAACATTCAAGGCTTCGCATTGATGCGAGCAGACTTGTTGTGACTAGTGTTGTACCGGTATCCGGAATCCGGTTCGATTATCCGGTTTTTCGAGAAATTATCCGGAATCCGGTATCCGGAAAAAAGGAGAGAAAAACTAACCGGATTCCGGATATTGATTTTTAACGCAGAAAAAAATGCCCAAAAAATGTTTGAATTCTTAAAAGACAAAACAACAACAGAAATGATTACAAATCATTTTAACAAAAACAAAACCAAATCACTTCAAAAGTGGAAGATTATCATGTAAAAGCACCAGTATTTCAGAGAAGTTGCTGTTGAGCCGGTTTCGTTTCTCAGAGAGAACATTGCCAGATGTACTGAAAACTCGTTCACTTCTGACTGAGGAAGCAGGTGCGCTTAAGACTTGTTTCGCCCAATTTTTTAGTGCAGGAAACCGCGTCTCTGATTTCCAGTAACAAACTGGATCTTTAAGAGCCATGTTCGATCTCGGCAACGAAGAGTATTCAGAAATTTCGCTATCGAGATGGGAGACTGTAGATGGGGTAGCAGGTGTAACATCTTCTTCTGCCAACCAGAAGTTGCAAGAACTCTGTTCACGAGGTGCACTGTTTGCTTCTGGCGTGATGACCTCAATGTCAGGTGTTTCACCCAGAATGTCTTTGATTTGATCCAAAACGACAGGGGAGATGTACTTGTCTTTGAAACGCGGGTCTAGGAAAGTAGCCAAGCAAATGTAAGGATCCAAAGTGTAATAATTGAAACGTTTGTCCAGAGCTTGTATCAGACTAGCTTTGAACGTTTGGACTCCATGGTGAACACCCCGCCCATTTGACACCGAAGGTTGTTATTGCATTTTTCATGTTGCTGGCGTTGTCAGACACGCAGAAAAATATTTTCCCGACCGGAATTTCCCAGATATGAACTCACCAGCTATGAGTTCTTTCATTTTCGTTTTCACCTCTGTGAAAAGCAGGTCAATTTCGTTTCGAATGTAGGGTCTGGATGGAAGACAGTACCGTGGCTCTATTGTAGTTAATAATTCTTTGAAACCAGAATCTTCGACGATTGAAATCGGTTGAACATCAAGAGCAATCATCTCAGCCACTTTTCTCGTTATTTTTCGGGCTTTCGAATTGTCATGCGGCCAAACTCTCACGTCTTCGAATGCTGAGAGAATAGATGGTTGATTTGCCGGTAAATTCTGCACAATCGAGGTTCCAGGCTGACTCAGTGCAGCTTCGTACTGTTCGAATAAGTTGCGATGTTTGGAGCGCAGGTGATTCACGAGAGGAGTAGTAGAGTAGCTGGACGGGTTTTGTCCTCTTTTGATCGCTTGTTGGCAAGAAGAGACATTGCATTTAGCATGCGTGCTTTGGTTCGACTGTATGTTGAAATAGTTCCATATGAGAGCCCGCCTCTTGTCCATGATTTCACTAGCTCGTGCTCGACAACAACTTCGTCTGAAATCAACCACTTGCTTTGTTAGCACAGTGAACTAAGTTCCCAGCTTTGATGTATGTGAAAAGAGGCACTTTGGCTGAACAAACAAAGTGTGAATTGCGCGTAATTAAAGAACATTCTACTAACCGGAATCCGGTTCAATATCCGGTGAATCATGGCAATAATTATCCGGTATCCGGAATCCGGTAAAACTCAATCCGGTTACAACACTAGTTGTGACCTGTTGCATTATGGCATATAATTTAGCACAGTTTCATAACCCTCCTTAACAAAAGCGCTTTAAGTATGCAGTTTTCTTTCGAGCATGATTTCGATTTTTGCTCAGAACTCGTTTAAGTATAGCGTTCGTTACATTCAAGGATTTGTTAGGGTTGATAAATTCATTTTTTTGTTCCGAAAATTGAAAAAGTGTAAAAAAAATATTTTTGGTCGATATGGGTTTTTCACAAAGCAAATTTCGACTTTGCAAACCGACGAATTAAAGTGAGGCATAATTTTTGATCCAATTCACACGCATTTAAATGAAAACCAAACTACATTGCACTTCAAATTGCGTGTATGGTGGTTGTGCAATCATTTTTTTTCTTTCACCATGGAAATTTTTTGTGACTCCTAACAGTAGGGGAAGTTTTGGAAAACACATTTGCTCAGAAAAATACAAAATTTTCAAAAAAAGCAAAATACTTAAAATTGAGATGATTTGTTTTATTTAGTCAATTTTAGCAATTTTTAAACGTAACTTTTTTGACAAAAATGATTTATAACATCTGAAAGATGTTGTTGCCAAGAGCTCATAGGAAAAAAAAATCATTGCACCCAAGACCATTTAAAAAAATGTTTTAGGGGTTTGAAAATTGCTACTTTGGGGCGATTAACGCGCAATATATAGCGTTCTTATAACACGTGTACGCGGCAGATTGAGGCGTTCCAAAGTGAAGAGAGGTAAACTGTTTCGATTTTTATTAGGATTTTGGTAAAACTTCCCTTTGGAGCTTACATTACCGTGTGGTCGGATAAGTTGAAGAAAAATGGGAAAAAATAATTTTACATTTCTTTTCAATTCACTGTCAATTTTCAAACACTTTTTTCTAAATTGAATTAGCAGTGCAGTCGGGACAATGATGTCTTTGCTTTAGTCTACGATCGGTCTTTTTTTCAAATTTTTTCTGCCGTTACGACAATACCACAATTTAAAAAAGATCTAAAATAAAATCATCGTTGTGCGCCAAAAGTGCTAGTCATGAAAACTCCCAAACTGTGATTTTGCATGGCTAACATTCTAAAGAGATAATAGAAATATGAAATTTCCAAAAGGCAAAAAACTTTATCCCGCTTGTTGTCACAAAGTTAACCCGTAATCAAACAAACATTTTCCGCTTTTTCATTTTTCATGAAAGTTTATGTTTCTTTTTTGTTTCTAACCTAGTTATTTTGACCGAAAGCTGTCAAGAAATTAGTTTTTTTTCAGGTTTGATTTGATTTTTATCGCAATTAAGGGCGACCTATTTTTTTTTTCCTAATGAGCTTTAGATATTTCGGCTTTTTCAAACTCAAGCTAAGTTATCCTAGGTGAAAAAAACATATATCTGAATTTTTTGCCAATTGTAACAAAATGACATTTTCATATTGCTTCCAAGCTAGTATTTACTCTATGACGTAAGCTCTCGTAATGAATTTTATTTATTAGATATGAAATTTTGTTTTGACTATGCGTTTATTTAGAATCAAAAGTTACCGAGTTTGGATCTAAATACTTCAGTTAAGAAGAATTAAAACTAAGAAACCAAAAATTCTGGGATTTGATAGTTTATGGATAAACATTCTGACATTCCCGTTTGTTGAAAAACAGCTAGGCAATCAATACCATAGTCTTAGAATAACAACAGTATCAAATTCAAAGTTTCAGAGCTTTTGTAACACATTTTTGTTCTCAAATTTTGATTTGTTGATGAGGTTGATGATATGTATTATTACTTCAGAATTCAACATGTGTTTTTAAACTCAAAACACATGTTACTAGAAGTAAACAAACAGATTCTTAGACAAAATATACTAATTTTCAGACAATTTAGTTGATTTTTTTTGGATTTTTAGAAAATGCAGTTTAATTGATTGCAATTAATTACGCTAGCGATTAGTAAGCGTTATCAAACAGGAATATAGATTTGTTTTTGGGTTAACAACTTGTTAAACAGAATCATTTGAATCACTTGTGTCTTGGTTCACCATGATTTCAAACTTCTCTGCGGTTGCGTCCAACTTAGCTTGGCGGTAAGGAATATACCTGGGACTGCAACGTTCCTGGGTTCGAATCTGACCAGGAATTGTTTTTGTTTCAAACGGGAAATGTTCTGTTTCAAATAAAATTGTCGGCCAATTATTTGTCTGCTCATTTTTTTTTGACTTAGTGATCACGTTTGAAACCGTTTTTTTTTGCTGCCCGCAGATTTTTAACGTTTAATTTTTTTCTACAATTTGTAAAGTTACTTACCTCGACTTCGCATTTATTTCGTTCTTGTTTCGCTTAAAAAAATCTTTGGCCTAAATTTTTTCGGCTTATTTTTATTGGCTGAATGACATCAGTTTGAGACGTTTCAAGGGAAAAAATCTTGAACACTCCCTTCCTCACTTTTCATGTTGGTTGTATGTTTACCAATCAGTTTATTAGAATTTCTGTTTTAATATGAACGAGAATTATTTCCAAATTCAATGGGAAAGTTTTATTTATTCTCTAAAATTCTTACTGATTTTCAGAAAGGGTTATCGATTGAAAGACCGCCTACTTCCCTGTGCGCCTACAAACTTCCTAGAGTCTCTTTTTACTTGACCCCTCTGTTTACTAGACCCAAACAATTGGTTTTTTTTTTTCGTTTTTTTTTGGAACATACCTCTCTCAAATCAGAGTTTTTGGTTTCAATGCATAAAACAGTTTCAAAAAACTACCTTCAAGAGCGGCTACGCGGAAATTTTTTTACTCATAAAGTTGTCGCCCTCGGAATAGTCAAACATTGATTTTTGACCCTTTTTTAAACTTTTTGAATATTCTCAAAAACTATCCTGCCATACTTGAGGTTTTTGATTCAATTCAAAGGCTGAGTTCTGGTAAGCTCATTTGCTTTTAAGACTATTTCCAAACTTTTCCGACACCAAAAGTTATGGCCCTCGGAAAAGTAAGTTTTTTTATAAGAAGGTTTTGACATTTCTCGAGAACTACCCTTCCAAATCTGAGATTTTCGGTTCAATTGACATTACAGGTTGAGTGAATTCCTTCTGAACAAGAGACTACGCCCTATAATTTCTCACAAAGCAATTATGATTCTCGGAAACTTCATATTTTTGATTAGCTGACGGTTTTTTGGACTTTTCTCGCTCACTATCCTGCAAAATCTAATATTGAGAGTTGAATCGAAAGAACAGGTTGTTGAAAACCTACCTTTACACTTGGTTATGTCCAATTTGTTAGGAAAAAAGTTATGACCTTCAAACACGAATTTTCGAAACTTTGACCGTTTTTTGCAAGCTTTTTTGACTTTACGCGAAAAATACCGTGCCAATTCTCAGGTTGTGTTCAATTCAGAAACTCCGTTTTAGGAATCTTTTCTGCTTAAGCCACCATAACATCTTTTGCAGCAAAATGTCATGGAATTTGGAAATCTTTTTAACAGTTCATAAAACTTTTGACCGTTTTTTAGAAACACTTTGATTTTTCTTGAAAATTACACAATCAAATTTCAGATAAAAAGTTTAACTGAGAGAACCGGTTGCGGTAATGGTTCCTGTAGAAGCGGCATAAAGTACTTTTTAATCTAAAAATACGAAAATTTTGGTTCATTTAGTTTTTTCAACGTAGAAATTTTTTTTTCGTTTAATGTTTTTTCTATGTTTGTGTTGCATGGCAAGTGGTGCGAAGCTCCGCTTCGCCTGTGTGTTTATGACAGATTGTTTACAGATTATTTACTGATTTTATACGCAAGAACTCCATTTTTTCCAGACTAAAACTTCCTGGTTTTATCTTTTGTTATGTATAATTGGGCTACATGCAATCGATTTTTTTTCCAGGAAGGAAGTCTGTACAAAATCGGGTATAATCTATTGCCATCTTAGTTTTGCCAGTGCGAGTGCAAATTTAAAATACATGCCTCTGTATTGCGTTTTTGCCAGCAAAAAATCGACAACACTTTAATTCATAGCTTTGCTCGAATTTTTTTTTTAAAGTGTGGCTCATGTTGCGACTTTGCTCGACTCCTGATGCGACTTTGCTCGACTCTTGTTGCGACTTTGCTCGACTCTTGCTGCGACTTTGCTCGACTCTTGTTGCGACTTTGCTCGACTCTTGTTGCGACTTTGCTCGACTCTTGTTACATTTTAACGCGACTCATGTTATGATCAACCTGTGTTGCGACCAATGTTTTAAGTTTTCAGTGCGGACTGAGTCGCGCACTGAATAATTTTTCAGTGCGCGATCCATTTTTAGTTGTGTTGCGAATTTTTAGCTATGTCGCAAACTGGAGGAAATTTTTTTTGTCAACCCGGGAAGTGATTTAAAAAATCAAATTAAAATTAATCAGAAATAATTAACAAAAGACAATTTATTGGATTAAAGAAAGTTAAAGCATATTTCAAATTAGCACTATTAATATATCTTTGATTTACCTAAGTTTGCATTAAACGATTTCTGGAAAACGAGAATTTCCATTTTCTTCGCCTTGAACTCTTTCTGCTTCTTCTCCAATTGTTCAGCACCGTCAGCACCATTCATTGTATGACAGACCCGATTTACACAGCTTCGACCTTGCTTTTTAAGCAAGCGAAACAAATCAACGACAAATATCAGGAAAAATATCGGACCAGGGTAATTATTTCTTCTTGAATAATACTTAACAGCGACTCGGTAGAAAATGAGGTTCCAATGCAGGGTAATGTTTGCATTCATTTCTGTGTAAGTGTTACTGAAAACGGCTATCAACAGATTGACCAACATAAGGTTCACTAATGTTGCATAGCAAAGAAAGAGAATTAAGCCGACCACTGGTCGAAGAAAGGAAAGCTGGCAATTTTTGAAGAGGTAATTTGAATCAGCGTCACATTCGCCACTTTCGGACAAATTGTCCAGGAAGTTCTCGCCAAAAACGTGAAGAATTGGCTTCAGCAATATCCCAAAAATAACTCCCCAGGTAATTTTACCGTCAATGTTGCTGTAGAGAATACTTTGTAGACATATTCCGTATCCGATTGTGAAAATGAGAACAACAACAAGAAATACAAGAAGGTCTCGAGTCATTTGGGCCATCATGACTATGTATGGCCCGACATAGTCCCATACAAGACATGACCTGAGAAGGATTCCGTAGTTGAGGAAGTTACTGAGCATATAAAACACCTGGCACCACTCGGAAGCATCCACGTTGTCATACGTTAGTGCATGAAGAGTTGTAGCTGAAAAGGAAACAATTGAGATGAATAGTTCCCGTAGCAACGTGCTTGTCTATCCGAGGGTTCTAAACGTTGGTTATAAAGCCAAGCATTATAAATGGGGATGAACTTTAAATTCGGGTGATTTATTTATTTTTTTCTTTTCGTTCTTTTTGTTTTCCACGCGAAATCAGGTATCCAGTAGCGGATTGGGGGGGACGCCCCCCCTCAGGGATTGGACCCCCTGTCGACCCAAAGGGACCCCTTTGTACTATTTTGAGATTTCCATTTTTGGCTGACTGACCTTAAAGTTTTTCTAAAGGCGCCTTTGGCGCCAATCTATACTAAATTTGAAGGGGGAGCCCGCGCCGACACGCGATTTTTTGGTCGAAGTTTTCCAAAAAACGCCTTTTTTTCAAAAATTTGTCTGCGGTGCAGAAAATTTTGTCAAATTAGGGTCTTTATAGTGGTTTGAAGAACTCAGAAAATCAATTTGGTTGACCTAAAAAAAAGTCGACAAAATTTTCATAACTTTTTTGAAAATCCCCCCCCCTCGAGAAATTCCTAGACCCGCACCTGCAGGTATCACAAATAATCATCCGACAGGGTCGAGTGATATATCATTTAAAAGCCCTTCTAGTCGTGATTTGAACCACCTAAAAGTTTCAAAAAAAACTTCTCCAATTTGGAGAAAAACCGGTTTGAACTTTTTGATTTTTCGTCTATTTTCGTGCGAGCAAAGCCATCGAGTAACGTTTGTTATCTTTTAAAAATAGAAATTTATGCTAAAAAATTTGAACTTACTAGAAAGAAAACTAGTTTTGGAAGCTTCACTTAGCTCTTCTCTCGCAAAAAAAAATATTTTGAAAATGTTCAAAACTTTTGTTGCAAAAAATTGAAAGAGAAAGTTTTTTATTTTTTTTGAAAACTTTTTCGTTTTTCATTTTTTTTCCAAGACCATTGAATTTAATTATGCCTATTTCACTAAATTCTTTGCGTTTGTAAAATTGTACCATCACACGATGTTCAAAAAGGACACTAACTTGAAGAAAAAAAAAACAAAAAAAAGTTTTTTTTTTATGCTGAATATGTGGTCGAAACCCTCTGTGCTATTTGTTAAGAATCGTTTTTCCTTTTTTGTATTTGTTTTTTCGAGCCTTTTGGCAGATCTCATCCAAATTAGCCAGTAGACATAAAAATTGACACCTGAACTGATTACTTGCACCGCGAATATTGATTAAAAAGTGAACATACACAAACACAGCGGATTTAAGGGGCCGGGGGCGAACGCCTCTTCTCAGGAATTCGACCTTCTGCCGACACAAAGGGTCTCCCTTTTGGTACTTTTTAAGAAATCCAAATTTGGCCGAATGACCCGAAAAATTTTTTTTAGGCGCCAATACATACTAGTTTTTAGGGGAGCGCGGGTCATAAAAACGCAATTTTTTGTCAACATTTTCCAAGACGATCCAAAAAACGGCTGTTTGACCTGTTTTTTCAAAACCAGGGTTTTTTAAGTGCCTTAGGACATATAAGTTGTTATCTATTTTTATATTTCTATCTATATCAATATCTATATCTATATCTCTATATATCGATACATCTATATATAATATAACTTTATATCTATAAAAATATATCTATCTTTATGTATCTATATATCTGTTATCTTTATATCTAGATTTCTAAAAATCTATATACCTCTATATATATATACAGGGGTGGTTCTAGGATTTTCTCGAGGAGGGGCGGATTTTCAAAAAATTTTCCAAATTTTTGACGATCTTTTTTTTTAGGTCGACCAAATTGATTTTTCGAGCTCTCCCAAAGCACTGTTTTGCCCCTATTTTGGCTAAATTTTCCGGGGCGGCAGGCAAATTTTTGAAAAAACAGTCAAAAAAGCCGTTTTTGGGCACTTTTTGAAAAATGTTGACAAAAAAATCGCGTTTTTTTGGCGTGCGCTCAAAATTAGTATATATTTAGAAAAATTTTAGGGTCGGTGACCGAAAGGGCCGAATGAAACAGGCCAAATGAAACAGGCAAACATCACCATAAATTGTTAGACAAAAAGTATTAATTTTATAAGAAGAAAATGATCATGTAAAGATCAGTTCTAGAGTCCCACCGCGCACCGCTGTTCATAGTTTTAAGACCTACATGCCATTTTTCATTAGCATTGTAACTTTTGCAGATTGTGACAAAAACTAAAGGATAATGGCCGGCCAAAACCACCAATCTCTCGCTCAAAAACCCTCATAAATCAGACAATTAGGGCTTACCGAATATGAAAGTGACACTAGTGATTGTTGATACGATGAGCCACTTGTTGGACATATAAAACTGTTGTACTCTCGCTGTCCTTCTAGTCTTGTCATAGTAGAGACAGGACACTATGTCTTTAAACAGAAGACTTTTTTTCCAGTTTAGTCCAGTATGAAAAAACATAAGTATCTCATATCGTTTTTTCGGACCACAGTTGACTCTGCATAACATCAACAAATTTTGTAATACCTTTTTTATAGCAATCTATTAAACTCTCGTTACAATGTTTTTCAGAAAAAAAAACATTTCATTCCTTTTGATGCTAAAATTGGCTTGCTTAATGCTGATATATTTAACCGGTTTTTCTCGAGATATATAAAACTTTTTCAAAATGATTCATAAGAAAATACTTGAAAATTATGTATCAGCCTGCCTAATCTGGCTTTTTATGTGTTAACTGACTCGCTCGCGAGAAATTGGTTTCCAAAAGCGGGAATGGTTTCCAAAAGCTGACTTTTGGCATCTTTTTGATGTATTTCATTTTCTGATCCGCCACTGCCAACTGTTTCAAAAAAAAACGATACAAATGATAGAAAACGATAAAAATTATTCCAGTAAAACTTTTCGACTCTGTTTTCTAATGCTTTTCAAAGCAATTAAACTGGAAAAGCGTCCTCCGCCCCTTTGAACAGATTGGACACATTCAATCCTAGAAGAATCCACTCAATCAACGAGACTTTTTCCCTAAGCTGGAACACCACGGTCAACATGTAACTCTGAGCAATCACTATTCCCAAAGTGTAAATAGTGTCTATAATGTATTTGACCACAGGCGAAGTGTACACCGAGTAGAACATGAGACCAATTTGTCGTTGCAACTGTCGCTTTACTCTTTCAGGAGGGTCTAAATTGTGACTCCGTTTTTTACTGTTGCTCCTGTCTCGAACCATTTGTTGCATGAGGAACCCCTAAAATAAAACTTGTGATTAAGTTTTTGGATACGAAATAACGACAAAACGCGGTGTTTTCAAACGTTTGATAAAACTTGACAAAATTCTGACCAAGTTTTGATTGATTTGTCCAAACAACGGCTTTTATATTGTTATGCTCTTATAGAAAGCTTTCAGATTGGCTCCAGAAACGGATGTATAAAACAACTAGAATAATTTTGCGGATGACTAGGGTCAATGTTCCTACAGTTGCGGATACATTGACTATTATAAATTATGCATTATTACTTCGATGCGTTGGTACCTTCATCTGATAGAAGTTTCCCTTATACTCTGCTACCCACGGCAGATTAACACCGACTGGAATGACTAGAGTGACACACAAGAGCAGTCGAATCCACGAGCACGAAGTCATGATTTTGCCAAAGAAGGTCTCCATCTGCAGTCGGTGGACCGGGAATTGGGAGAAAAAAATGTTGCAATTGCCTAAATTAAGAAGGATTAGCTTTATCATGCGCAAATTGTATAAGTAACTCGAGAAATTTTTTTTAAATCGACGATTTTCGTAAACATCATTGCGGACAATGATATCGTTTATCAAAAATAAGGTTTCTCATTGACGTTTATGATGCTCTGAAATAGCATAAGACTAACATAGCTAACAGACAATTGGAAAAGAGACAATGAACGCAGGTTAACAGAAAAAAAAACTTTTTTTAAAAAGAAAGTTTTTTACTTGGTTTTTAAAAATTCAACTTTCATTTTTTTTTTCGAAAAAAAGAAACGTACTTAAAGCTTTTTGAATTTTTAGAACAATTTATGATAGACAGTTTTTTGATCAACTTAACCCACTTTGGCAAAACTGGATCAATAGGTAACTTTTTTATTCCGGTGGGAAATCAGAAAAAGGAAATCCACTATCGAAACTAGAAGTCACTCATTTTTCGTAATATTTACAAAGGAAACGAACTGAACTTAAAAATCAAAAGTCAAACGGCAAAAAAGTAAAAGTGAGCCTGAAAAAATTTGAAGATTATTCTTGAAACAAGTTCTCACGACCTTTATAAGAGTCTTAACTATGTTGATTGACTCCTAAAAATATGATAGTTTTTTGCGACTGACGCTCCTCTATCCATGAACCAAAATTTTTGGAAACATTTTTTCCAGGCAAAAAGTTATGTCATAAATTTTTCAAAAATTTGAAGTTGTAAAAAAAATGTTGTTTAAACAATTGTCTGAATGCATCCGTAAAATATACCTAATTTTCACACCATAAGCGACAAAAAAAAACATTTTTTTTGTGACAACCTAGTTACTTCTTGTTAGATGTTCGATCTTTTATAATGTTTTTTGACCCTGAAAATTAATCGTTATCAAAATTGAAGTCCAAAATTTGCATGATCAAAAACAAACAGCTTAAAGATACGAACACAACTCCGCCGGGAAACGCCAAATAAATCCATAGTCCGTTTTCATTCCATTGTTTTCCTGCGAACCTAATTACGTGTATGAAAACGCGAGGTTTAAAATAGAGTAAAAATCTGGACACGAAAGTTTAAATACTAACCACACTGCTCGTATCGGGTTGGAATTTTGAATACTCAGACTGCCTTTGAAGGCTTAAAGATACGAACAAGTGGAATAAGTTCGTTTGAAAGAAAATTAGATGAAAGTTTCAAAAAAAACTTGAAATATATATATTTTAATTTTGATTTTTGTTTTAAAATCATCCTCCGCACGGATTGTAGAAAAAACAAAAAAGATATATTTCGGCAAATGCAAATTATTATGTAGACCAAAAAGGATTGCCTCATTTAATTTTGAAAACTTTTTATGACTGATTCAATCTCCGATCACGCGTAATACAACGAAAATTATCGCTCGTTCAATGTCTCAATTGGTCATTTTTTATAACATTACCAAAATTGGTTACAAATAAAATATCTTTTTAAATTTAAGCTCAGGGCAACAAAGCTTTTCAAATGACATCTTGAAAAACTTTGTCAAAAAAGGCTATTTAAAACGTCCAAACTTGTCTGGAGAAAAAATTACCCCGAGCACAAACATTTCGTCATTTTCTTTAAAAGTGGAAACGACAATTAATTTTCACTAATCTAACAGCTTAAAGATACGCACACAACTCCGCCGCGAAACGCTAAATAAACCCATAGTTCGTTTTCATTTCATTGTTTTCCTGCGAACCTAAATACGTGTATGAAAACGCGAGGTTTAAAACAGTGTAAAAATTAGGACACGAAAATACTAACCACACTGCTCGTATCGGGTTGGAATTTTGAATACTCAAACTGCCTTTGAAGGCTTACGGAATAAGTTCGCTTGAAAGAGTATTTGATGAAAGTTTCAAAAAAACTTGAAAATTATATACATTTTAATTTTGATTTTGTTTTAAAATCATCCTCTACACGGATTGTAGAAAAAACAAAAAAGATATATTTCGGCAAATGCAAATTATTATGTAGACCAAAAAGGATTGCCTCATTTAATTTTGAAAACTTTTTAGGACTGATTCAATCTCCGATCACGAGTAATACAACTAAAAATATCGCTCGTTCATTGTCACCAATTGGCCATCTTTTATAGCATTACCAAAATCGGTTACAGAAAAAATATCTTTTTAAATTTGAGCTCAGGGCAACAAAGCTTTTCAAATGACAACTTGAAAAAATTTGTCAAAAAAGCTATTTAAAACGTCCAAACTTGTCTGGAGAAAAAATTACCCCGAGCACAAACATTTCGTCATTTTCTTTAAAAGTGGAAACGACAATTAATTTTCACTAATCTAACAGCTTAAAGATACGCACACAACTCCGCCGCGAAACGCTAAATAAATCCATAGTTCGTTTTCATTTCATTGTTTTCCTGCGAACCTAATTACGTGTATGAAAACGCGAGGTTTAAAACAGTGTAAAAATTTGGACACGAAAATACTAACCACAGTGCTCGTATCGCGTTGGAATTTTGAATACTCAAACTGCCTTTGAAGGCTTACGGAATAAGTTCGTTTGAAAGAGTATTTGATGAAAGTTTCAAAAAAAACTTGAAAAATATATACATTTTAATTTTGATTTTGTTTTAAAATCATCCTCTACACGGATTGTAGAAAAAACAAAAAAGATATATTTCGGCAAATGCAAATTATTATGTAGACCAAAAAGGATTGCCTCATTTAATTTTGAAAACTTTTTAGGACTGATTCAATCTCCGATCACGAGTAATACAACGAAAAATATCGCTCGTTCATTGTCACCAATTGGCCATCTTTTATAGCATTACCAAAATCGGTTACAGATGAAATATCTTTTTAAATTTGAGCTCAGGGCAACAAAGCTTTTCAAATGACAAATTGAAAAAATTTGTCAAAAAAGCTAATTAAAACGTCCAAATTTGTCTGGAGAAAAAATTACCCCGAGCACAAACATTTCGTAATTTTCTTCAAAAGTGGGAACTACAAATAAATTTCACTATTCTCTAACCTATGAATTTTGAAAACCTGGTTAAAACAAGAAGAAGCAGACAATTGGAAATTTGGCACAGACCAAATGAAAGAAGAAAAAATAAATCACTTGTGTTTCTCAAGTTTATAAGCTACAAAAAACCAAAATGATTGATAATGATGGTTGATCAAATTGACTTTGCAGGCAAAAGCAACAATACTCTTCAAGTCAGATTGGGGCAAAACCCTGATTGATCTGACTCCTTTTTGCAGTCAACGAAAAAATCTTTTGTCTAAGCTGATGAAATATTCAAAAAGAAACATTCAAAAAATACAAAGTCATATGTTTTGAGTCTGCTAACACAAAATCAAGTGCATATTGTTTGCCTCATAACAATTTGGAACAATTTAATTACGCGGAATAGGGGCTATTCTTACGCTGAAGGGACCGAGCGATGGAAAAATTTTAACCGATCAGAATCAATAGAAAATCCTATTCGCTGAAAGATTTTTGCAATGAACCGAAGTCAAAATTAGCAGAATCTGAAACATAGCACGCATAGTCTGTGCAAATACACTGAATTTGGTTTTGTTTTTCAGAAGCAAATATGACTGGCTGAAACTAAAAGAAATTTGATTATCGTGGGTGAATTATCTCAAATTGGCAAACTTCAAACCATCGTAATTTTACAAAAAAGAGTCAAACGCAAAATACCTTTTCAATTTTGAGCTTGAACCTTTAAAAAAATTGGGAATCGCCACTGATAATTATTTATGAAATCGAGGACCTGCGGTTTCTCAGGTTTTGTACCAGTAATCCATCGCCTAATTTTTTTTAACCTTTACGATCACAAAAACAATCTGGCATATAAATGCCACAAAGCAATTGAATATTTTTTTATTTGAGAGGAAGTAAAGTATAGCAAAATTTGTACGTCGCAATTATAAGCAAGAGAAAACAGCAAAAATTATCTTAGAAACAAGAAAAACAAAATGTACAGAAGCATTGAAAGAAATCAAAATTCCATGGATTTTGGACTGAAACTACTCAGCGGTCCCAGTGGGACTATATTGCACGGGACTACTCGAGTCATTGGCTTAAACCACTTAACCATGGTCCCTTGTTTTTTTTCTGGGACTTCCATTGCAACTGGGACTTCCATTGCAAAAAAGGAATTATTATTGTAACATTGCGCTACCACGCGGGCTTGCGGAAACACGAAAATTGAAAATAAAAATGGGTGATATACTTTAGACAGATTACGGCAGCAAAATGCGTCGTTCATTAGAATTTAATAAGCTTGCCTAATAGCATGAAAGACTATAAAAAACAGCACATTTCCCTTCTCAGAAATTTGAACCTCTCGTCTCCCAACGAGCAAGCTCTTAACTCATGCATACATTTGCCTGTCTGACGTTCAGGTTTTTCTTAAGGCAAAGTTTTTTGACCCTGAAAGTTAATCGTTATCAAAATTGAAGTCCAAATTTTGCATGATCAAAACAAACAGCTTAAAGATACGTACACTACTCCACCGGGAAACGCCAAATAAATCCATAGTCCGTTTTCATTCCATTGTTTTCCTGCGAACCTAATTACGTGTATGAAAACGCGAGGATTAAAGTAGTGTAAAAATTTGGACACGAAAATACTAACCACACTGCTCGTATCGGGTTGGAGTTTTGAATACTCAGACTGCCTTTGAAGGCTTACGGAATAAGTTCGTTTGAAAGAAAATTTGATGAAAGTTTCAAAAAAAACTTGAAATATATGTATTTTAATTTTGATTTTTGTTTTAAAATCATCCTCCACACGGTAATTTTACAAAAAAGAGTCACACGTAAAATACTTTTTCAAGTTTGAGCTTGAACCCTTAAAAAATTAGGAATCGCCATTGATAATTATATATGAAATCGAGGACCTGGGGTTTCTTAGGTTTTGTACCAGTAATCCATCGCCTAATTATTTTAACCTATACGATCACAAAAACAACCTGGCATATAAATGCCACGAAGCAATTGAATATTTTTTTTATTTGAGAGGAAGTAAAGTATGGCAAAATTTGTACGTCGCAATTAAAAGCAAGAGAAAACAGCAAAAATTATCTTAAAAACAAGAAAAACAAAATGTACAGAAGCATTGAAAGAAATCAAAATTCCATAGATTTTGGACTGAAACTACTCACCGGTCCCAGTGGGACTATATTGGACGGGACTACTCGAGTCATTGGCTTAAACCACTTAACCATGGTCTCTTGTTTTTTTTTCTGGGACTTCCATTGCAACTGGGACTTCCATTGCAAAAAAGGAATTATATTGTAACTTTGCGCTACCACGCGAGCTTGCGGAAACACTAAAATTGAAAAATAAAACGGGTGATATACTTTAGACAAATTACGGCAGCAAATCGCGTCGTTCAGTAGCATTTAATAAGCTTGCCTAATAGCATGAAAGACTATAAAAAACAGCACGTTTCACCCCTCAGAAATTTGAACCTCTCATATCCCAACGAGCAAGCTCTTAACTCATGCATACATTTGCTTGTCTGACGTTCAGGCTTTTCTTAAGGCAATTTTGCCGCCAATTGGTTTTACTCTTTAATCAAGAGCGCGCAAAAGATCTTTTTTCTGTCAAAAACACTGGAAGCTCTTTGATGCAAAACATTATGATACTCAATTTTGATATATTTGAGCCAGACGGTAAAAATTAGTACCAATCCATTCACGATTCAATTTATCAGTTTCATTACTTACAACGTCTTGGCCTTAGTAAAGAAAAAAGCACTATCAAACTATATTGATCATTTGGTATTCAAAATTTTAGGAGTGAAGTATTAGAAAATAGTAGGAATGAACTGAAAATGGCAAAGAATGGAAAATTACCTTTCTCTGCCAGGTCCAGAGGCTTCAGATCGAACCAGCTTTGCTGCTCTGCCTTCAAATTCTCCATGGCCATTTCTTCGTCCTCGCCGTAGAATTTATTCAGGAAGTCACATGCCTGCTGCTCAAAGTGGGAAGTGAGCTCATCTAACGCGGATTTCCACTGTCCGAACTCGGAGGAGCTCTCCATTTGGTCTAGCAGGAGTTTGGCCAAAAGAGCAGAGGCCATCGGTTCGTCTAAATAAAACTTCAAATGAATGAAATTCTGTGAAATTGCGCTCAGTAACTGAAAATTTTTTTGGTTTCGTCTTGAGCTATTGCTCAAAACAAAGCCACTAAGTGTTGCACTCTGAATGAAATCCGGGTTGAGGTGTTCAGTTTATTTTTCTACTTTCAGTGTCGAGCACAGAAGAGTGCTCGACTGAGAAAGAATAGTCGAGACAAGGGTTTGGATCGAGCTCAAATTCGAAACATATCTCGACCAAGATGGAGCACAGTCGACCACGGTCGAAACATACACCGAGCAAAGTCTAAATTTATATCGAACACGATCGAAGCAAGCACCGGCACTGAGGCGAAGATGCGCCTCGCACACACGGGCGAGAAAGCGGCAAAGAGTTTTGAAAAGCTCACATTTTGCATATAATAATTTAGAATATAAGAAACTAAAAACAACAACACTAACTTTGTATGTAGAAAAAAAATAGAATGTAAAAAACCAACCTACGTATAAATTATGAATTTCAAAAACTTCGCGAATTATGCTGAGTTTGAAAACTGAGTTGGGACTGTTACTTGAAACAAATATATTTTTTGATTCTTTCGATGAATTAAAAAAGCATCTAATGTGCTAAATTTTTAAAAATGAAATGACAATGGGAATATTTTGCTAATGATGCTCACTGCTTTCAAAATTGTCTTAAAATAGCAGTTTCTCATCGGCAAAAGTGGCACCAAAAAGAGCACTTTTATTTGCGACTGAGGTTGGTAAAAACCTTTCATTGTACTATGCACTACGCTACGCGATCGAGAAAGCGACAAATATCGAAGAGCTTTAAATTTTGCAATAACTCAGTTTTCGCTTTTAATAATTTGAAAAAGAGTAAGCTTAAGGCAAGAACTATCAATGTAAAATCTTAGAAAGTATCAGGAAACTGCGTATAAATTAAGCTACTCAAACATCTTGTGACGTATACTCAGTCGGAAATTTTCTGAAATCAAAACTTTTTTATTATACTGTTACATGAAACAAACAACTTTTCAACTTCGTTTGACGAAATGAAAAAATAACATACTTATTAACTTTCTACTAATCAAATGTCATTGGTATTTATATTGCTTAAGCTGCCTACTGCAATGAAATTGAGCTAAAAACAGCAATTTCCCATTGAAAAAATGCCAGCCATTTTGACAAAAAGGAATTGGCAAAAGTGCCATCTAGTTTTGTTTATCAACTCAGGCTGATAGAAAAAAGTTTCATCGTACTTATCACCCTATGCTAAACTCATGTAAGCACGGTCAAAACATACCTCGAGCAGAGTCGAAGTATACCTCGAGCACGATCGAAACATAACTTGACACAGAGATTACGCTGCGCATCGCACACACGTGCGAGAAAGCGGCAAAAAGTCCTGGAGTTTTAAATTCAAAAAAACTCAAATTTTGTTTTTCATGTTGGTTTATAATAAACTAAAAGCAACAATTTTTTTGCATGTAATAAATTAGAATGCTTTAAAATAAAATGCGTATATAATGCGCTTTTCATAAATCTCGCCAAGATTTTTGGGTTGGAAAAATTTTCAAGTTAATGTTACTTATTTTTTGTTATTTAAAACAAATAGATTTTTTAGTTCATTAGATGTTTTAAAAAAGCATCAAATGGGTTAACTGCTGCAATAAAATTGCCCTAAAAAACTAGTTTCGCTTCGGTAAATGTGCCAACAAAAGTGACACTATTATTTGCGACTTTGGTTGGAAAAGTATCCTCGTGCTATGACACTACGCAACAATCGAGCTTTAAATTGTGCAATAACTCAGTTTTTGCTTTTATAATTTGAAAAAGAGTAAGCTTAAGGCAAGAACGTAAACATATCATGTCAAAGTTTAGAAAGTATCAGGATACTGCGTATAAATTAAGCTATTCAAACCTCTTGCGACGTATACTCAGTCGAAATTTTCTGAAATCAAACTTTTTTTATTATACTGTTACATGAAACAAACATCTTTTCAAGTTAGTTTGACGAAATGATAACATAACATATTTATTAACTTTCTATTACTCAAATGTCATTGGTATTTATACTGCTAAAGCTGCCTACTGCAATGAAATTGACCTAAAAACAGCAATTTGCCATTGAAAAAATGCCAGCCATTTTGGCAGAAAGGAATTGGCAAAAGTGCCACCTAGTTTTGTTTATCAACTCAGGTTGGTAGAAAAAAGTTTCATCGTACTATCACCCTATGCTAAACTCGTGTAAGCACCGTCGAAACATACCTCGAGAAAGGTCAAATTATACCTCGAGCAGAGTCAAAATATACCTCAAGTACAACCGAAGCATACTTCGGCAGAGTCAATGCTGCGCACTGCGCACACGGGTGAGAAAACGGCAACGATCGAAGAGCTTTTGAACGCACAAAAAAAACAAATTTGTGATTTATTGATTCGATATATAATAAACTAAGGACAATAGCTTCATTTTTTATTTACTATTTTAAAATGTTTTAAGCCAAACTGCATATAAAATAATCATTTCAAAATTTTAGCGCAAAATTCTGAGCTCAATTTATACTTTGGTAAAACAAAAGTAAAACCAATTGTTACTTTTTGTACTGTTATATGAAACTAATATATTTTTTGTTCATTTGATGAATTAAAAAAACATCAAAGGTGTTAGCTGCTCCTACTGCCATAAAGTTGCCCTAAACACGGCAGTTTTGCATTGGTTTTTTGATTTGCGACCCAGGGTGAAAAAAAGTTTCACCGTAATATCACACTGCGCTACGCTCGTATATACACGATCGAAAGTTACCACCACATACAAGGTTGAAACATACCTTGCGCACGATCGAAACGATATACTTCGAACACGGTCGAAACATACCTCGAGCATGGTCGAATAATATGTTGAGTACGGTCGAAACACACCTCGAACACGGTCGAAACACACCTCGAGCACGGTTGAAACATGTGTTGAGCACGGTTGGAACATACCTCAGACACGGTCAAAACGTATCTTGAGCAAGGTCGAAACAAATATTGGGCGCGGTCGAAGCTTCAAATGAGCAGATCGAGAAACGACATTTTGTCGGATTTTTTTAGCTCGCAAAACTGTATAACAGATGCAAACAGCAGAAAATTCCAGTATATTTGTGTTTTTAATGTACAGTTAACAAGACCAGCATAGTTGCATGAGAGCTGATCATATACAAGACCGCCACGAAAAGGGCTATATATGGTCCCAAAACATAAATAACTAGTTTTTTGGCAACAAAAAATCACCACAAAAACAGAAAATAGCGCAACAATCAAATGAAACATTCAGTCATCAAAAAACAACAGTCTTCAGTAAGTTCAAGATAACATTTAACCAGATTTTGGTTCTGGTTTCAAGATTGGTAGTTGCGACTTTGGTATCTCCCCCATTTTCATTTGACCTGCTATTGTGCCCTCCGCCGCCTCCCCTCTGTTTCTACGAAAAGTATCTTACTAGCTGCAAAATCGTTGTTAGAAAACGTCGAGATTGAGCGCCTCGTCGCTTTTCCCCCATGATTTTAAATGAAATCCAAGACGCTCAATTGAACTTTGTTCAAGTCTCGATTTTCAGACTCAGAGTTTAAACTGTTCGCTTGCGAGTTTTGTGGTTTTCGGTCGCTATCTGTTTCTATCCTAAATTCTTCTTAACAGAGTTTTTTTGATATGCTTAATTATAAAATCCTATGTCCATGTTTGCAAGAAATGAAAAAAAGTACAGAAAATTGGAAAAGAATCAATGAACACAAGTAAACAGAAAAAAAACCGGATTTTTTTTGAAGAAATTTCAACTTTTCAATTGTCTGGGACTGCAGATTTACATTTTTTTTCGGTCGAGCTCGTTCGAGCACATTTTTTTGGTCGCACACAGTCGAAGCATACACATATTCGGTCGAAACTTTCGAAACATACCCAATTTGGCCGAGAGGGTCCAAAAAAATAGAGAACCTCGACCCGGGAAACTCACAAAAGATAAATTTGAGCAAAAAAGTGCGCAGTTAAAAAATAATCCCTGCTACTTTAGCCGAGACAGTCGAAATATACTGTTTTTTGACCGAGAAAGTCAAAACATACCAAAATTTGGCCGAGACGGTCGAAACAAACTGTTTTTCTGTTGAGAAAGTCAAAACATACCAAAATTTGATCGAGACGGTCGAAACAAACTATTTTTCAGTCGAAAAAGTCAAAACATACCAAAATTTGGTCGAGACGGTCGAAACAAACTGTTTTCAGGTCGAGAAAGTCAAAAAATAACAAAATTTGGTCGAGACGGTCAAAACAAACTGTTTTTTGGTCGAGAAAGTCGAAACATACCAAAATTTGGTCGAGACGGTCGAAGCAAACTGTTTTTTGGTCGAGAAAGTACAAACTTTGGTCGAGAAAGTCGAAACACAAATCGAGCACCTCGATCCGGGAGAGTTGAAATATGCCCAAATTTGGTCGAGAAAGTAGAAACGTAAAATCTAACCGCATCTCTTCCAAAAGAACTCGCTCATGCTTTTGTCCAGCTGCATCAAGCTGAACAGAAACAAATGTTGATTCATATTCAGAGCTGTGTGTGTACACCCAGACTTCTTCAGCATTTCTTTCAGCAGATCGTTCAGGTATTTCAGCTGGAACAGGTCTGGTTTCATTCTCGTCACAATCGGCATGTAATCGTTGATGAACTCCAGAAGGGCAGGGGAAACGGTCATAGCCGAGATATAGAGGTCAAGCAAGAAATGGTTGTCGAAGTGTTTTGAAAGGTCAAAACCAGACGAAACAATGCCTTCTGAAACAATATTTGAACTCATAAAAAAGATCTAGTTTGTTTTATATCCCACGCCAATTTTTTCCCTAGTTTTTTATGAGCAGAGATTGAAACCGGCATAAAGGTTTTTTAAATAATCGTTATATCAGCCTGCCGAATCAGTTTAACTCCCGGAGACACTAAGAAAAAAATGGAGAATGATCTAATTTTAGAAATCAGAAATTTCAAAACGTAGCCAGCAGGCAGAAAGATAAAGGTAAGTGAACCCAAGGAGTTCAAAAAACTGTCTGTTTTCACTTTTTATTCTGAAAAACACGTTTTCTTCACAGAAACATTATTTTGCTGTGAAGTTCTTTTAGTTTCATTTATCTTCTATGATTGAAACTTTTTGATTTAAGTGAAAAAAAAACTTTGAGAGAGCTTGATCAACGAAAAGTTTTAGGTATCTATAGCTATCGTACCTACAATCTGAAACTGCTTTTCGATGAGAGCATTCTGAAAAGCCTTCAAGCAAAAGGATTCCATAGTTGGGTCCGAAGCCAGTTCGTCCAAAACTATCCGCAGATTCCCATCCAGCGAGTCAAAAACGGCTAAAAGCAAACCAACAATCTAGTTGCTGTGCAGGTATCTCAGAACATGCCAGCTAGCTTAATTTAGGCAATGAAACTTCAAAAGAGGAAGAAAGATTGAAAAAAAAATCCAAATCTTTTGGGTTTTTTTCTAAATGGATTTTCGTGGTGAAAGGCAATTGAATTATAAAAAGCTGTAAAATGAGAGTTAGTTATATCTGAAAAAAAGAATGCATAGTATGGTTAAATAAGCGGTCATCAAAATTGCGCTTAAAACCTCAAGGTCATCAAATATAGTCTGAAAGCTAGATTAATACCGAGTAGTAGATGTTGGAGGTTAAGTGGAGACGGGGGGGGGGGGGCCTCATTTCTTAAGATAGGGAATAGAGCATCCGGTCTTCCAGCTATGTATTAACATTGGGTATAGAGTCTACAAAATATAAGGATAGGGAATACTGATAGAAAGGTTTAATGGTTTGTGTGATGGTAAGAGAATTGTCAGAAAAACGATTTTTTTTTTGGTTTTTGCGTGGAAATGTCTAGTTTTTTCGCAGAAATCTCGGCGCACATTAGAAAAATTGGGAAAAATTAATTGTTAATTACGTGTAGATTGTGGAATGAAGGTCTTTTAATTAGTTTTTGGCACAAGGTAAAACAATGGTAAAATTTTTTGAGCAAAATTGATATTTTTTTTATCAAAAAACCTGATATTTTACAAAAAAAAAACTTCAAAACACGACAATATTTGTTAAATTTTGACCTCTTAATTAATTTATTACTCTTTTTTTTGAAACATCTATCTGACACCATGCTGAAATCTACTAAAACTTCGAAAAACTCAAATTTCAAAAAATATATAAACCACTGCATTGTATGTTGAGTTTACCGGAGTATTTTACATTTTAAAATCAAAAAAGCAATTTAACACGGGTGCCGGACATCAAGCCGACGGGATTTCAAGCCGAATCGTTAAATTAGGGACTTCAAGCCGAAAATTTTCTCACTAAGTAATGAAATAAGGTTAATTTGAAAACTTTTTTAAAGAATTTCTCAATTTCATGATCTTTAATCGGTAATTATTAGCGTTTTCACGAAATTGAAACCTCCAAATGAAGTTAAGGAAAGTTGAAAAATAAAACACGGTTGAAGGTAAATTTCTTGTTTATAATTTATGCATTTCAAAAAACGGCTGATATAATTAACTAATGCCAATCCTAAGTAATTCATTGTCATAAATAACGCTTATTATGGACTGAACTAGCCTAAGATTTTGAAAAGAAACGTTTTACAGATGATAAATTAATGATTTGAGGCGCTTGTAAAGTTTAATTTTCGGCCTGAAGTCCCTTCGGCTTGAAGTCCCGTCGGCTTGTTGTCCTAGACCCATTTAACACGACATCATATTTACATTTACTACATCAGCTCAGATCTTATAGTTCTGAATCCTCTGTTAGTAGATATAAGGTTAACTGCTTCATCGAACATTCTCGTGTATTTTACATTGGTCCGTCTCCAGAACCTTCTAGAACTCGTTTGTTCCAACCTTTTTTTACTGAATTTGAACTTGTCTGACTTGTTTCGAAAATTGGTGGAAAGTTGGCAAATTTTGATTTCAGTTCATCTGGAACAACTTAATTGCATTGAACATAACCAAAAAGAGATCCATCTTTTATTTTTGCTAGAAAGGAGTCTATAGAAAAAGGTCTTTTGTTGGGAAATGTAGGGAAAGTAGGTTCTGAAGTGTTTTTTGATCTTGTCATTGGTTTTGAAACTTTCCCACCACTCACACTCCCACATTTCCTCAACTTTGTATCCTTTCCCTTTTTTGTATTCCCGTCTCAGATCGTCCATCTCTCTCTTCTTATTACCTCGTTCAAAATCTTGGTCGGTTAAGGCGGGACGAGCTTCTTGACAGAAACAGAAGTGGTAGTAACATCCTATTGCTTCGAACACTGTCTTGCAGTGATCACAATAACTGTCCACATTAAAACACTCGATTTGTTTCTGTTTCCCAGATATGAAAACTCTCAATTTTACCTTCTGGTCTTGTTTCCTGGTAAAAAGAATTGACCATATTCTCAAAGCTGATACTACAGCTTCTCGAGTGAAAACAATAGAAGGTCCACCAGACACGTTTTCTCGAATTTTTTCACACAAACCTTTATCACTTTCGCAAAATGGTTAAAACTTGTAATTTGTAGATTTGTGTGGACGTATTTGTTTGCTAGAGTTGAAAGAGTACATCCAAGTTTTAACATATTTATCCCCTTGTTATGATAAAACTGAATCATTTTTTGCATTGCTTCCAGGGTTGGAACTACATCCTTGTTATTGTCCCACTGCAAAAAGTCTTTGAACTTAGTCATTCCGTTTTTCTTCCAAGTCGCTTGTAAGTAATTGTAATTATCGAAACCAGATTGAGGAACAGTCTTGATTTGAAGCTTTTTCAGTGCTTGTTGTTCCTCAAGCTCACTTTTTCTAAGCTTCTCATAATCGATGAAGTCTTTGTCTAGAGGATTGTTGTTTCTAAGCTTACTGAAAAAAGCTTCACACGGTGGAAAATCAGGTTTGACTGGGTTATCAAACCATTCATTCGGAGAAAATTCTTTGGTTTTGCTAGCTTTATTAGGCTTTGAGAGAAAATCCAGAGTAGTTGCCCCACCCAGAAATTTCATTATGTCAAGAAACTGTACATCTCCAAACTTGAAAGATATAAGATCATTTGGTTTTTTGATGACGGGTGTTTCTTGTTTTCTCTCGCAAATCGAATTAGGTAGGAATTGATCAAAGTCAAATCATATCTACGACTGTTGAATTCAAAAACAGGTAAAGTATTTACATATCTCTCCAGATGATGTTTCAAATCAAGGAGTTGATTTTTCTGAATTCGCAAGAATTGTGTTGACATATCTGCTTTTTCCGGAGCTTCGATGCATTCATCTTCGTACTCGAACTGGTTACTTGAATAGTTTTTACCACAATCCTTCAACTGATCAAAGATCTTTTTCATTCTTTCATTGACAGCTACTTCAATGTCTTGAATTTGTTTTTTTCATCTCTAGCTTACTTTGTTCAGCCAACAGCTCGAGGTTGGTTACAAAATCGATAATCAAGTTCAGTGGATCCTTGTTGTACAAAAAGATGGGTTCATCAATCAGATTCGATGATAATGAGAGTTAAATTGGTGTATGATTTCCTATCCAGGCAGTAGTTTGCGTCTCTTTTAGTTTTTCTGTAGCACTACAAATCGACTCAAAATTGAAAATTGCTAGATTATTGATAAGCTTGTTTTTTTTCAGAAACTGGAAGAATGAATCCTTCCAGCTTTTCAAACAAGGTTTCGCAAAGCTCATAGACGTTCTTTGGGTACAATGTCTCACTCGATCCTTGCATCTCAGAAGAAGTATGTTGAAGTTGTCTGATCTGTTGAAGAAACAGTCACAGATGCAACATCGAAAACACTTGAAAAAACTATCTATATAAGTCGTACGAATGATATGGTTGTTGAACTTTAACCATTGAACAATTTTTTCAATCTTTCCAATACTTCGTTGAGCTAGTTCTCCTAAATATTCTCCTTCTTGCATAGCAAAATCGTATATAAAAATGTTTCTTTGCACAATTTGTGAAACTCCACGAAAACGTTTAGGATCATAACCAGACTTTGTGATGAATTCTGTTCAGTATGTAGAAGTGTGATTCGAGATCATTTACATTACGTTCATGTAGATTACCAATGCGCAGAAAAAAAAGAGATGATTTTTGTATGATTCCTTGTTTTTGTTAGATAAAAGACAGTTCACTTGCTTATGTCGTAGTAAAGGTTTGGGCAAGACAGAGTCAGGATATCCCCTTGGGGTGTTTTCCAGTAAAGCAGCAAAAATTGTCACATTTGTGATCAACTTGAATCTCCATTTCGTGTTCTGACGTTTTTGGGTACGTTGTTCTACAACACCAAATTTTTCTACTTTTGCTCGAATTGTGAATTGTAACCAAGTCTGCTTTAGTACATAGGAAATGGGATTTTTCAAACAAAGTATTGTTTTCAAGGGCGTAGAATAATCGATATTCACCAGTCTCAATATTTCGAAGAACAAATCCCAGAGCAATGTTGGTTTTAGCGGCAGAATCGAGCTTGTTGAAGACTTCTGCAAGTTTCTCGTTGATTATTTTAGTGTCCAACTTGGACATTTGGAAATTAAATACCTTATGTTTCCCATTTTGCATCTCTGTATCCACCAGAAAATTTTGACAAGCACTAAGCTCCTACTTCAGTTTTTCACCATTTTCACCTTCTTCCTCCCCACTTTTGTTCAAGTCCACTACAGTATCACTGGATTTCGGTTGTTTTGCTCCATGTTCCTTTCTCCGATTTTGTTGGAGAGAGCAATAACTTGGGAACTCTTGTTCGCAAGAAGGACAAACCGTCGACTTCTTCAAACTTGTTTGAGCATGCTTCTTGGCCATATGATAGTTCATTTCTTGTTGATTGTAAGTGGAATACAACAATCAGGACAAGAAATAGCTCCTTTAGCACATCTTTTTTGATGTCGAGCTTCGTTTTGGCAATTGTACATAATTCCACAATCCCGATTCTTCACTTTCTCGTTTCGGTTAAGGGCAGGCATTATCTAAAAAAATTTGGGACTTAACAAATGTTCCAAAATTGAAAATTTAAAGTACCAATTGAATGAAAATACTTAATTTTTTCTTTTCGCGAAGTAACAAACTGTAAAGTTTGAAGTAAAATTCAATTAACTGTGTCTGATTAGCAATTAAAAATAATGATTTAACACAATAAAATAAGCGTATTTATACTAACAATGGCGTCATCGCCTACGCATTTATTCTTTCATGGTCATGACGTCATTCTGTGAATAGAAGTGACATCACCACCCACGCAATTTTCTTCTATGATCAAGACGTCAATCTCTAAATGGGAGTGACGTCACCACCCACGCAATTTTCCTTATATGGTCATGACGTCATCGCCTACGCAATTTTCCAAGAATGGAGAAAAT